TTGTGAATGAAATAAACTCTCTTCTGATCTAGTGTTTAAATGCTTGAGATGCCAATCGTATCCTTCGTGGCCTGACTGAATAAAGTAGACGAAGGTTGAGCATCTCCGGTGTTCAGTGTAGTTTTGTTTTTATGAATACAAATGCCCAACAGACCTTCTTTTCTTTCTCCAGCCAGTTGCTTCAAAGCGTACTGAGTGGCGAGAGTATAAGCATTAGCATTAGGTTTGCCAACAGAACACTCCAGGAATGAAGGAAATTAATAGATTTTTAGTCAGGATACAGAAGGAACAGCACCTTTATGTTTAAATCTGTCATTTACTCAATTCTAATCTGATCAGAAGTGGTTAGGTAAACCCACCTAATGCAGGTAAATTATTTCAAACTGGGGTTGGAATGATGGGCGACAGAAACTTCTGTGATTGGAGGTTGTATGACTGAAAATTGTTTGATTTTATCTAAACGGCTTTTCAGCGTTTGTTAAATGCTGCACTTTGTCCTCCGCAGCACCAGCAGATGCGATTTAGAAGTTGCAGCCGAGGAATTTAAGAGAATTTAACACAGTGCAGCTACGCTTTAGACGTCTATTTTTTCCCTGCTGTTTGTATTTTTAGCACCTCTTTAAGTCCGTCTTCCCTCAACCAGGGAAAAAAAGGCCTGCCTGTTTGGCGTTTACAGGATCAAAGAAGAGGTAAAATATCATTTCCATAACATTTGAACCAGTTAACCACCAGCACAATGCAGATAAACACTACTGTAAGCGTCTGACAATGCCAATGAGGCAGGAACTCTGTGATTTGCCGCTCCGCCAAAGAGGAGGGAAGCGAGCGCAAACATGGAGGAGGTCAAAGGTCAACTGTGCTCTCCCTGCATCCCTTTCCAAGCAGAGCCCTCGAGCGCTGGTGGTGTTTTAGGCAAGCGTACCTCACTTTGGGGTGGGGGGGGGGGAGGCCTGATGGATGCTGTTCCCAAGGTGAATGGAAAGAATAGCATTAAGCTGCACCACACCGCCTGGAGAGAGCTACACCGCTTTGGGTGATTCATCTATTGATTATTTCTACCCAAGCATGGAGGTGCCATGTAAACACACATATATTAGTAGTCTACAATGCACATGTGCGCCCCGGAACGCACATGCAGACACGGTGGAACCAGTGAAAGCACGCCCCAGGCCTACTCACTGTTTTATAATCAGATTCCGACTTTACCAGCTCGTGGGCATCTTCAAACCAGCGGGCAGATGCATCTGATGGAGAACTAAATAGAGATGAATGAAGAGATGAAGGAATAAATAAATGATAAATGTGCATTACCGCTATTTGTGTGGGCCTATTGTGCTATTGATTTAAGCTGGTGTGTGTGTGTGTGTGTGTGTGTGTGTGTGTGTGTGTGTGTGTTTTAGACGTGCACTCACACTAGGTTTTAGTATGTGGGCCAAGAAATAAATACTTATTCTTGGCTTTACAAAAAGTGAAGAATTTCAATTTTTTCTAGTGGAATTTATAATGTGAGCAGGATGTGGATTTCAGTGATTTTATACTGTACAGATATGATTTTAATTAATTAATATAAGAGGAAGCTAATATTATATTCTAGACCTAATTTGACTTAAAATCCAAATTTAAAAATGTACTTATTTGAATCATTAAAAGTTAAGTCATCTAAACGTCAATCTATTTCCAGTGACTTTTGCTTGACATTTGCTTAACATTTAACATTTGAAAAACAAAGTGCACGGTTTGTGTTTTGTACCTAAAAAAAACAGTCGCAGAGCAGGTGAAGAGAAATAAAACAATGAGGATGTCGTTCAAAAATGTCTGAAATTTGTGCTTCAAAATGTTAAATCAACTGCAGTTCAGTATGCTAAACAAAAAATGCAGATTAACAGTGTTTAAGAATTGGAGCTCAAATTGTCAACTGATTTTATTTCAAGTGTTAACAAATAGTTCTTAAAGAGTGTATAAACTGTAGTTCAAAAGTGTTGATTATAAATTTAAAGTGTTAAAAAATTGTAGTTCAAAGTGCTAACAAACTGGAGCTCAAACAGGATCAACAAATTGTAGCTTAAAAGTGTTTAAAAATTGTGTTGACTAATTTAAGTTCAAAAGTGTAAACACACTGTTTCAAAAAGTGTTGATTGTAGTTCAAAAGTGTTAACGAAGTGTAGGTCGAAAGTGTTGCTCAGTTTGAATTTCTGAAACTGCAGTTTAAAGTGTTAACAAATTATAGCTCAAAATTGTTTATAAATAAATTTTAAAAATGTTGACAAATTTAGATTTTACATTTGTTAAAAAGTTTTGCTTCAATAGTGTTAACGAACTGTGGTAAAAAGTGTTAAAAAATTGTTCAAGTAGTTCAAGCAAAAAGTGTTAGCGATCTGTGGTGCAAGTGTAATTTTTTGTTTCAAAGTGTCAAGGTGTCGTGCAAAAAAGTTAACAAACTAGTTCAAAAAGTGTTTACAGTTTGTTGTTAAAAAGCACCAACAAATTGTAGTTTAGGAGTTTAACTATAGATTAAGAGTTAAGTAGTTAAAAGTATTCATCTGCAGTTTACAGGAGTCAAACGACATGTGGTTCAAAAGTGTAAATAAACTGTATTTTCAATTTGTTTACAATTTGTAGCTCAAAATTGTCAGTGATCTGTAGTTTACAAATTGTCATCCAATTGTAGTTTTATGAAAAAGTGTTGACAAACTACTTCAAAATTGTACTAAAATGAAGTTTTTAAATGCAAAAACAATGTTAAAAGCCTGTCAGTAAGTTGTTTTTAATGTCATACATTAGCTGTTAATGATCAAACGATTGTCAAAATTTTGAAAATTTGCAACATCACTTTTGTTGAACTGTTACTGAAAAATGTCCATGTCAATAAAGCCTTCGATTACAAAAATGAATTATTGGCAATAAAATAAAAGCCACATTTCTGAGACAGACTGAGTTTTTGGACTGAGCTCTGCCAATACACTGCAGCAGAATTATCTGTGAAACATCCTGGCAAGTGTTGATGGATCCTTCAGACAAACATTTTCTGCTGGAGTGTACAAAGCGGAGCAGCTGCTCAGTCAGCCATTATGCTCTCTGGGTTTATTTTATTTACCAAAATGTTGACTGGTTTTGTAATTCTTACCTCTTTTGGAAAATAAGGTCGTATTTTCTCTTTTTTTCAATGATTGAAAAGTCCCCCTTGTTGCTAACTCTAGCTGTGGCCAAACCCTCCATGTCTGTTCAGGTGTGTTTCCATTGTGTTCTTGCATTCACACCACGACCTCCTCATTAGTTGGTCTCTGGACGTGCTCCTGTGACTGAGGTGTCCACCGGGATTCAGAAACACCCTGTTGGTTCACCTCGTCTCCTAAGACAGTACCAGACCGAACCTCTTTGTGGAGATGTCTGTTTTTGCTCCGAGGATCATCTGCGCTGACAGAGCCTGGATTTTAATTCTACATGACAGAGTAGCATTTCATGTTATGCCATATTAAAGATCTGGCGTTCTTTTGTCTGCATAATCATGAACATCTCTGCTCAGGTTGAAATTCAACCTTTCTACGCTCAAAAAGGATAATGCCAGAGTTGTCACTAACATTGGATATCATTGCTTTGGGCGGAAAAAGAGCCCCTCTCCTGCTTGTTTCTTTTCCCGCAGACTTTTTTTTTTTTTAAACGTTAGACGTGGCTCTCTCCCTTAGGGGCGGTAATGGCATTCTCCATGACAACGGCAGTGTGACACGGCTGTGCCCTTGAGGGCCGGGCGCCCCCTCTGGGGGGAGCGCCGCGGAAACACGACAGGGTCAACGGTCACCTCCCATCATCCACCAGCAACTCGTCCTCCTCTCTCTCTCTCTCTCTCCTCAGGTGGAGCAAAAGAGAGGGAGAGAGAGAGAGAGAGAAAGAAAGTCTTAAAGTGAGCCCACTCAGTCCAGGCCTGGCAAACGTGGAGCTTTAGCCACAGGCGGTTCTGGCTAGGTCTCCAGCTCCTTGCTGTTCCCTCCAAGGCCAGGGCTGGATCAATACGTATAGTAGTGTGGATTCTTTTGGCACCCAAGTATAGCTATGCAGTATTGCCCCGAGGTATGGGTCCGTTAAAGACATAACAGTGTGTGCATGTGAGCAAAGTGGTCGGAGTTTATTCAGGAAGGTGTAGAGATGCTTGGCATAAAACTGATGTTTCCGACACGGAAGGATGTTTTTTATTTAGTTTGCTGCTTTAAATTCTGGAAATTCTCATGGCTGCCTTAAATATCACATTTGGGCTATTTTTACTGAAATGGACGTGGAATTTTTTTAAACTGGTGAAGATATTAAGACAATTAAATACAAGGACTTTTAAGTCAATTTATTCCCGCCTGTTTTTGGAGAATTTTTTTCCCAGATATCTTTTTTTAAATTGAACAAAATGTGACACTCTTGATAGATCCATCATCATTTACAGTGTGAAAATACCTGAAAATTGATGTTACAAGGGTCTTCACTGAAAAGCAATGCTCTACTGCCATCTAGTGGCTTAAAAGCAAACCACTCTGGAACCAGGTTTTAGCTTCATCTTCATGTCTGTAAGTGTTAAAAACACACCAAATCCTGGCACAAATATAGAATAAGAATTATTATTATTATTATAATAATAGTCTTTTTTTGTTTTAAGCAGAATACCAAAAAACAGCTTTCGCGTCAGCGTTGTGTCCGCCTTGGCACGTCTTAAATAAAAAGTCAAAAGGAAGTAAAGAAAAAACAGGACACAGTCAGTTCAACAATTCATATCCTGAAGCATTTGGCGTCTTCGACAAACAGAAAGTGTTTATGTTCAACCTGTGAACATACAGTCGGACATAAAAAGAGGCGACGTCTCCTCGAGTAAGGATAGAAAAAATAAAAAATAGTCCCTTAGTGGAAAAACTGATGCAGACCTTTGAGGATATAAGCTAAGCTGTTGTTTGCATGCAGAGTCTGGTGTCCTTGGTCCTCACCCCAAACAGAAGCTTCCATTCAGAGACGAGGGAGGAAGCGGCTCAGGCACCTGCAACGACGAGGAGATGAAGAAACAGAAAATATTTACCTCACGGATTTCCTCATAGTGCACATAATTCAAAAGAACTTTATGAAAATATACAGATTTAGACAGACGGAGGGTAGACGTCACTGAATATACCTGCTATCATGAACTCAGTGACTCTTTTGTCGGGTATTTCAGGTTTTCTGGACTTTTAATCACACTGTGAATTCAATCTTATAATGATTTATCGTTCATGTTGTGAATATTAGCTCCATTTGTGCGTTTTTGGCTAATATCACAAACTTACTATGAAAGTGTGCACCTGCATGGTTTCAATGAGCTCAAAAATCTCTTTAAACTTCAACTTCTTGTTTCTAAATGCTGCTTTGGTTTTACTTTTTTAATTTCAATCGTTAATGCAGATTTCAGCTTTAAAAAAAAAAAACACTCATATATGTTTTTCATGTACTGGCTCAAGACAGCGATCTCTATGTGCACAAATACGGTCAGGAACATTACCATTAGCCCTGGAGACAGAGGAGGAGAGATACTGTATGTTTTGCAAACTCTGTGAAATTGAAAATGAGGTTCACTTTTTGTTTTACTGCCCTAAATATATTGATATAAGAGAGGTATTTGTTCATAAAATGTCTTCTATCTATGTTGATTTCCTTGAATTAGACGATTATGAAAAACTTGAAATCTGTTTCGCTAAAGGAGCCTTTTCTTTATCTATCTATCTATCTATCTATGTATCTATCTATGAAACAAATTATTCACAAAAAACACTATTTTGATAAGTCTTTGGAGACATGTTTTTAAAGTGTTTCTTTTCATGTATATCTTCAACATGGTGAGCAACTTCTCTAAAGTTCGTAAAAGTTTTGAGTTTTTTTATTTGTGTGGGTGTTTTTCAATCAGTTGTGTTGTGTTTTTCAATATAAGATTAAACTCCTGAGCTATACGATGAACTTCGTCCTCTTCGGGGGTACTCACCGTACTGGTATATGGATCTGGGAGATGATGGGAGTGGGTTGTGTGGACCACCAGGAGAAGGAGGGCCTAAACCTCTTCCGTTACCCTGGTTGCGGGACCTCTGCACTGCCAACGCCACTGCCTGTGCAAACCTGGACGGCGCTGTGTTGATGTCTTCTGTGGGAGTCTGTTCGGCTGCGTTGGGCCTATTTTGATGCTCGCCACTGAACGCCTTAATCTGCCCATTTGAGGTCGGATTTAATGGTGGAGAAGACGCCGCTGTAGCGTCTCTTTTCTCCTCTAAGTCTTCGTTATAGAAAACAGGAGGGGGAGGGGGTGGGAAACAGTCCTCCCCTTCGTCCTCAGTGTCTTTTTCATGAGTGTTTGAATCACAATGATCTGTGTTTGATTCCACAGACTCTCTCTTGAGGCTTTGAAGATGTTCGCTCTCATCTTCAGAGTCACCCTGACCCTTACTTGGAAGTTCTTCTTTCGCTTGAACCACCTCCAACAAATCTTCAGGTTCTTCTTCTTCTGCCGCTTGAACCACCTCCAACAAATCTTCAGGTTCTTTTTCTGCTGCTTGAACCACCTCACACAGAGCTCCGAGTGCTTTTTCTTCTTCTCTTTCAACAGTATCACCAACTTTGGGCAGACTTGGGCTTTCACGATCCAGATTTCTGTCCAAATCAGGTGGATACAGGGTCAAATCTGGCTCACTAGAAGCCTCCTGAGAAGATTGATCGGGACTAAGCAAAGAAGTTTCAGTCTTTGATCCGTCCAGGCAACACGGATCCTCTTTGGCTTCAATTTGATCTTTCCAAATCTCCATAGAAGCCTCTGTCTTTGGGGTTTCTTCAATTCTTATCTGCTCAGGAACTTTCAGGGTGATTTCTGCATCCGTTGTCCACTCTTTCTTCGACGGGACCACTCTGAAAGTGGTCATCACCCTCCTTTCTATCGGATCTTCCCATTCAGGCTCTGCAGGGGGGACCGGTGGTAGTACAGGCTCAACTTCAGCGCAGGCCGTCCCGTTTTCCGAGCGCCTATGAGGCACTGAAAGACAGGAGGAGCTGGTGTGCAAATTAGTCGAAGCAGAACTCCTCAGACGCTTCACCAGCCCTCCTTTGCTCACAGATGAAGTCAAAATTTTGGCGAGAGCGCTCCGAGCGTCAGAGAGGTCTTTACCTCGGAAGGAAGGCAGGTGATCGGCTACTTCATGGAAACAGGAAAGGGAGAAGGATGAGGATGATCGTGAGCGTGATGGTTTTGGTGATGAAGACGAGGAGAATGATAGGGTTATAGAGCCTGAATCGTCACTTTCTCTCAGATCTGCCAAAGGGTGCAGGGAGTCAAGAGTCCCTGGAGGAAAAGGAAAGATTTAGTGCAATGGGAATTTATCTTTCAATCAATTTTTCACAAATTAATATTTTTCTTATATTAAATCACGTATTAGTTTAAGGCATTTTTTTGGTTTAATTTTATTTAGAAAAAGATTAATAATGAAAAAACTCACATACATCTTTTGAACAAAATAAAACATATAGATGAATTGTCATGTTTATCAAAGTTAAAAAGAGATCTGGGAATATCTGAAATATCAAGAAAAGAAAGATAAAAACCTGAACAAAAAAAATAAGATTAAAGAAAACTAATATAATCAAAGATAGAATTAAAATCAGTCAGAAAAACACAAGCAAAGACATTTAATCAAAAAGGTAGAACTGTACTGTAAAGAAAAACTGTTCAAAGACGGACTATTAATTAATTCATCATGATTATAAAACAGGGTCTGTGTTAAAAACAGTTATTGCTCATTCATGTTTCACAAACACTGATTACTTTACAAGTTAATTTCATTTGGGTTTCTCTTTTGAATCAAAGGCACAAAAATCAGTTCAGAAAGTCTGATAAATTAAAAGGAAAACACACAAAAGGATAAAAACCTGAGACAAAATGAATGAGAGCTACAGATTTTACAGCAAAATAACAGACAAAATTAAAGAACACAACGGAACAAGAACAGCAGGATGAATAAATATGTTTTTAAGTGCAACAGGCGACAGGGACAAACATCCGTATAAAAGCCACTAAGACGGGAAGGAGGAAGAAGAGACCAGCGCAGGAGGAGGACGGAGAGGAAGGAGAGGGATGGTGGAAGGAGGAGAGGAAAAGGAGACAGCAGCAGCAGGAGGAGGAGCCCCAATCAATCACCCGCATCAGGTAACACAGAGTCTGTAAGCAGGGAGGAGAGAGAGCAGCCATCTTCAGTCTACAGGTCTTTAAAAAACAAGAGAAACATTCAGAGTTGAAGTGAAATCTTTGAGCAAGTTTGGAACTTTTAAAAGGCCGTGATTATATAAGTGTAGGAGGGTACGATGAGGAGGAATGGAGGCTGTTTTCCTAGACTAGGATTGTTACAGGCTCAGCAGATTTTTTCACTCTGACAACAAAAACAAAACGAGGGAGTGAAGCGAGGAAGAATTTGGGAAGATAATTACGACGCTTAAACAAGGACTGTGTGCAAAGATGGACGACATGATGGCTCCTCAGAACTAAAGCGAACAATGTAGACATCCACTGACTGCCGAGCTGTAGTATCGGTCATGAAACCAACCCCATGTTAAAGGGATATTCCAGCGTAAAATCAATTTCGGGTCAAACACACCGTAACACCGAGTTAGAGATGAATGTTGCTGACCGCCTGTTTCTCTAGTTATATCAACTTTAGTAACAACTGCAGGATAGCAATACACAGCCAGGCCAGTCCATTACGGACTGCTGCGGGGTGACGCAGCTCAAGGAAGAACATTTATGATCATTACTTGATCATTTCCTTGAAGTAATAATTACTATATTAATCATTTTGCTCTGCAGACGCGGTAGTTCTTCTGCCTTAGCATCTCGGTCTGATTGTATTTCCATGAAAAAATGATCATAAATGTTCTTCCTTGAGCTGTGTCACCCCACAGCAGTCTGTAATGGACTGGCCTGAGGTCTCGCTACAAACAAGCCGCTGCTGGAAGAGAGTAGGTGAGTTGTGTTTAGTCTCTTTGCTAAAAAAATTAGGCAAAGTTAAAAAGATGTTTGGTGGCTAGTGCTATAACTGGGACCCTATATGTCCTGTTGATGAAGTTAGGTGCTCTTCTGAGCATTATTTGTGGCTATAGAGTGGCGTTTTGGTTGAGGTTTGTTTATGGCTCCTCAGACCGCTGTGTATTGCTATCCTGTGGTCGTTACTAAAGTTGGTATAACTAGAGAAGCAAGCAGTCAGCAACATTCATCTCGCGTGGGGGTGTCTAACTCGGTGTCACAGTGTGTTAGACCCTAAATTAATTTTACGCCGGAATATCCCTTTAATAGATACATGGGTCAAACTTAAAATTCAAAATGTGTTTTAAATAAAATGTTCCCAAACATGGATTCACATTATGTCTACTTATGTCCACTTAAGAAATTTAGATGTAGTTCATATTTTCATGAATTTAATGACATGTTCGACAGCTCTGTTGATAAATGAAGCTCCTACAGCGCACCAGATTAGCTGTGTAAAGAAAAAAATTACAAAGGAGAAACATGGTTTCTGTCATTTATGTTGGTTCTCTTCACGTTTATTCTTCTGTGGAAGATAGCTTTTATTTGTTATTCTAGAACAAAAATCGGACGCCGAATACGACATATGGGCTTAGCTAAATGTATGTTTAAGGTAGCAGATCAAGGGGGACATCAACATAGTCCTAGTTCACCTCTTTATCTAAACATAATTACCAGCCCAAGATGCACGCACATGTAACAAAGGGTATTTTGACTGTAATTTTAGGTGTGCCTGTCCATCTTTTTATCCAGCCAACGATTCAAAGTTCAAGTTCTCTTTTCTTTTTCAAACGTTAACGACATAATTGCAGATCCCTAATAACCTTTGTCTAATCAGAGTGTGGTCATTATTCTTTCAAATCTGTGAAAGCAGATCAAGAGAACGGGCTGTGCACCAGGTGGTAAAAGCATATCAGACAGCTCGGACAATAGAGGGATTTATCTCTGAGCGGACTGAAGCCAGTGTATGCCGTGAACGCGGCTCTCCGGGTCACTTTAATTGCCCTGAACGGGGTTAAAATGTTCTGGCTGATAAAAGAGGAGTTTTCGTGCTGGATTTAACTGCTAAATCGGCCGTTTGATGGTATTCGCTCTGACATTTTAATCTTGATTTAACTTCAATCTCTCTTGACCCGGCGCTGCGCTGAGTGAAGTCGTGAGGATTCGGCAGACGCAAGAATTCACCTCACTTTAAACCCCTTTTTTGATTTCCACTGAAATACTGTAAAAGGTCAATTAGGTTTTTGGAGGAGCATTCAAAGGGCTCAGAGATGCTGCCTCAATCATCACCACTAGAGGGCAACATAAACAGACTCAGACCTTTTTCATTGAACAATAAAGAAGCACAGAGTTCCCGTCACAAAGTCCAAAGATGATCCTACCTTTAGCGTCTGTGTGCAGCTCCAGCTCCTGGTGGTTGTTTGCACAGGGAGGGGGAGGGGCCCTCCTCTTGGTGCTCCTTAATGTGGATTCTGCAGACCTCTGCAGAGAGAGATAATGACATTACTGGAGGATGTTTGCCTTCATTTACGGCAGAGTTTCTTTGTTGTAGACACTGAGGGACAACGTCACTAATGCTTTCAATTCAATCAGCGACTCTCTGACCAACGCAGCTATTTCTTTAGATCAGGAGGAGACGGAGGAATGGAGGAGAGGACAAAAGACTAAGAGAGGGAAAAAAGATGAAAAGGAGGAGACAGGAAATTTTTAACAAGAAGTCAGAATAAGAAAGAGGAAACACTGGGAAATATAAAACAGGTGAGAATGACAGATAATAAATGATGAGGTGAGTTCAGAAAGAAAAGGCGAAGAGGAGAAAAAGAGATATGTGAGAGAGAAGAGAGTAGAGAAGAATATGGTACCAGGAAAGGTGAAATAAGAGACAAGAAAACGAGGGAAATAAGAGAAAAAATGGAAAAGAAAACATCAAACTGTAAAAATAAAAAAGGAGGAGACAGGAAGAGGTAAGGTAACAAGAAAAGGAAAGGAAGTAAGGAGGAAGAATGCAAGAAGAGGAAGGTGATAAGGAAGTGAGGAGAAAGACAAGAAAAGGTATGGAAGTGAGGAAAGGACAAAAAGAGGAAGCGAGGAAGAGGACAAGGAGAGGTAAAAAAGAAGAGAAGAAAAGAGGAGGTGAAGAAGAAGAGACTGGATGTTAAGACTTCAGAGAGGAAAGGTGAAATAAGAGACAAGAAAAGGAAAGAAAATAAGAGAAATCATTGAAAAGAAATCATCATTTGGTAACAATAAAAAAGGAGGAGACAGTAGGGGTAAGGAGGTGAGAAAGACAACAAAAAAAAGGAAAGGAAGTCAGGAGGAAGGCAAGTAGAGAAAAGGAAGAAGGGAAAAGAAAAGAGGAAAGAAAATAAGAAGAAAAGAGGAAAGAAAGTAAGAGAAGAAAAGAGGAAAGAAAGTAAGGAAAAAGACAAAAAGAGGAAGGTTACGAGGAAGTGTGGGAAAAGACAAGAAAGGTAAGGAAGTGAGGAAAAGACAAGAAAAGGTAAGGAGATGAGGAAAAGACAAAAAGAGGAGGCGAAGGAGAGGACACGGAGAGGTGAAAAAGAAGAGAAGAAAAAAGGAGGTGAAGAAGAAGAGACTGGATGTTCAGAGAGGTAAACCGAGGAAAAGAGGAAGAGTTTATTAACCCACCTGTGCTCCTCTGATATTACAGGTGCTAAGGTTATTGGAGGTGTTCTGTGCTCCACTCAGCGGTGGCTGTGGGGCCCGTCTCTTCTTGGGCATGTCGACTGTCAGAGTCGAAGAAGAAGAAACACTCTGCACGTTGGCACTGACTCCCACCCTCAGACCAGGAGAGGACGGCGCGCTCTTTGACCCTTCCTGTGAACAGAACATCCACTTTAATTTAAAGACAAGAACCATCCGCATTATAAACATCATCAGCTGATAACACTCTGTACCATCTGAGGCTTTTTCTTCTTCTTCCTGAACAAGCTGAGGAAGCCTGAGTTCTCCTTCTGCTCCTTCTGCTTCTTCTCCTTCTTTGGCAGATCTACACCATGAAAAACATCTTGGTTATGAAATGATCTGCTGTACAACAAAGGACGAAACTGACACCGTGCATTAGCGTGTTTATGTGTTACCTTCTGGTGGAGGCGGTGTGATGACCTCTGTTGGCGTGACAGCTGTTACGGCTAGAAAACAAAGCAATTATTATCAGGCCAGACGCACTGATTTAACACCTTCATATAAAGAGAATATTATATATCAGAAACAGTATATCTTCCAGGCTTTATTTCAGATTGGCAGTGATGTTAGCAGGGTTTTAGGAGCACCAACATAAGGAGAAAAGATGCAGCACCAAATTGCAGCTAAAATAATCCAGCAAATCTGTGTTTTAAGCCTTAATCCGATAGTTTTCATTCAAAAGGACGGCATACTGTCCAGGTGCTCCAGTATACCTATTTCAGGCGTCTTGGATTGATGTTGGCGCTCGGTGGCTGTGTCTTTGGCGAACACCTCCCTCACGCCGTGTTCGTTTAAGCTCTTGGTCAGATCCAGTGGCTCCTTGGACTGCGAGTTTCTCAGTAAAATGGTCGTTTCTACTTGAAACTCGCACTTTTCACACACCGCAGGCATCAGCAGCTCGATGGGCACTTGGGGATTCACACGAACTACGGCCCTACTTGTTGTAGTTGATAAGCAGGCGCACGGATGGCTGCAGAGACAAGTTTGAATATTGAATATCTATAATTAGCCAAAAGGAAATTATCAAGTCATGTATAACTTTGTTTCTTCATTTTCCCCCACCTCAGGCATGTACGGCCTCCTGATCTTCTCCTCCACCCCTTTGGGTTTCAGCACTATCTTTTCCGCTTCTAGCAAGCCGATCTGAGAGTTGGGTTTGAAGCGGATGTGGTTCTTGTTGGGCGAGAGAATCTCTGCAGTGTAATCAGATGGGTTCAGGTGGTAACTTGCACAAAGGGTCACGAGTAGGTCCATCACTGGGGTACTATTAAGAGGGAGGAATGTGAAAGAAAGTGAATGACCATAAATAACCTGGATCTGGATGTTGGAAAGGATCTCAAAGGTTCTCAACTTTTTACAAAGAAAAACACCAATAATATCAGGGAAACTATTTTAACGTTTCTTGGTTTTTAAACAAAAAGATACAAGACAGTATGAGGGACACTTTAAGAAGGACAAGGAACAGTCAAAATCTCAACCTGGTTGCCTCTCCTGCTCTTAGCGTGGGTTTACTTTTGAGTAAAAAGTCAATCCATCATCAAAAAATATACTAAACAAGTCAGATTACAATCTTGCACAATATCTATCCATGCCTGAGCTTCTAACATTGCCTACCTTCCATGCACTGTGGTTTGCTTCTCCAGTCCGCCTGGCAGGACCACTGAGAGACAATGGTCCCTATCTAAAGGATTCACCTGCTCATCCATCTCAAAGGGACCTCAAGTGAGTTCAAAAGCCTTTCCAGATCTGATGCTCCTCCTGACGTCAGGTAAACCTCCTGAGAGAAGAGAAACATCACAGTATATTAATTATTAGTATAACCTTTCACCCTTGGATGATGTCAGAGAGAGTTCAAGTTGTTGATGTAGGAACAGAAATAAGCAGTGACAGGATTTCCCCTTTGCCAGTGCCAGTTTTAACAACCTTTTAGTTGCTCCAATTGGCTTCAAGATGGAGATTTAAAGGCCTCCAAAGGCAACACCCTGGTAATTCAATTCCCATCTTCATAAATGATTGGTTTAATGTCAAAATATAATATAACTTACCCAAGATCAAACTGACTTTGTGAAACTGTTGGTTTGTCCTACTAACATTCAATAACACACACGTGTGACATCAGATTCACCAGTATATCCAACATGGCCGACCGGCTGATTGTTTACGTGTCGGAGAACGAAGTGCTATTTGATAAAAAACACAAACATTACAAAGATAACGACCTGAAGGACAACTTGTGGAGAGTCATAGCGTCAGATTTCTCATAAGACAATGGTTTGTGTGCTTTAACAGTTTGCTAAACGTCTTTGTTTTAACTTTCATCTGTGCTAAGTAACTTTAGCTCGTAAGCTAACCTGTTCAGATACAACATACTGTAATTATTTCAGGGGAACATTTAAGGTATACATGTTTTTTTTTCTTCTTCTTCTTTTCTTTTTTTCATATCGTGATATATATCAATAGACTGATATGAAAATATATATTGTGGTAAACTTTTTCCCATATCGCCCAGCCCTAATAGTTCCCTAACTGTTCAGCAGCAGTTCACTGTATGTAATATAAACTCTTGTTAGACTCTTTTTTGAAAAACTTTGGTGAAGTTTCTTTTGATATTGAAACAAACAATAATCCCTCGACGTTAACTGTCTTGTTGTGGGGTATTTTGTGTATTTACCATCGGTCAAAGCCCATGAAATGCCACAAACGTCCAATATGAACAGTTACCTGGAGAGACACTTCTTCAAACGTGTAATATTTCCGTCGAAATGAAGGGGGAAAAAACACGAAAAACATCCAAAAACGCCGTTGAACGTTGACAAGAGTCAACGTTTGTCTTGAAAACGGAGGAGCAACTTCGAATGGTTGCCGAAGACGCCACACGGATTGATTTAAGACCTCCTCCGCCACTCTCTGGCACTTTAACCTCTCTGCTTCGTGAACTGTGACCCTGTGTGGTGCTTTTTCATCACATAGGAACCGTCTCTTTACACGGTTTGATTAAAGTCAACGCCCTTGTCGTATTTTTAACCGGCAGTTCGCTCGAGCGTACCGGCAAACAATTGCGTCTGCTCATCTGCACGTGTGCTCTACTCTACTGTTATCTTCCGGCAGCGCGCGTGCACAGACGTTAATCAATACATTTAAACAACCCCCCCCAAAAATCGACGTAAACTGATCCTTAATTTTCGTGATTTTGATATTTCTCATGTTAAAAAACACAGTTGAGATGTTACGCTTTGTTTAGAGTATGTTTTGTTTTGGTTACTGTTTTTACTCTCAAAAAGGACCTCTCTACGGAGGCCCTTGAACGCCAAAAACATTTCACAACAGGAAAAAAAACATTAATAAACTTCCAAAATTTCACATACAGACAAAAATGTTAAGTAAAACAAGACAAATTTTAAAACTACTAAAAAAACATTAAAGTCAAAAAAGTCAAAATATTTTGACTGGAAAAAAAACAGAAATTATTGCAACAACAAGCATTAAATTGACAAACAAGGCAACAAATTCTTTCAAAAGGTAAATAAATCAAGTATCCTAATGCTACTGTAATTCTTAGCTAACAGCCATGTTTTTTTTTTTTTTTTGCTGTTTTGCTGGAAAGATGAACAGTTTTTGAACGAATTAATCCACATGGCAACAAAATAGCAAAAGTGATTGACAACCTTGTATATGTATAATGCTGCATAGCAAGATACCACTCCTGTTTATGTTCCGCCATGCTGTTCAAGCAGTAATACTGGCTTCTAAATAAGCTTACACTGTTTCTCCTGTAAGAGGGATTAGTGCTCTTGAAAAGCCATGTCTCACCATGCCACCACATACAAAAACAATCCGTAACACATGCATTCAACGCTTATTTCATCTCACCTGTGTCCACAGAGTCTTCCCATTCTGTTTCAACGCTCTCTTCTGTGTTTTTAGGCGATGGGATGAGAGAAATTGAGGAAGGGTGAAAAGAGCTCCTTCCCCTGTAATCCCTGTTGAGCAGACCAGCCTACCACACCTACAGGCCCTGCCCAGTCATGTGACCTCGCTTTGCATGTCTGTGTTTGTGTGTGTGTGTGTGAACAGTGTGTATGCTTTGTGGGAGGTTGTCTTGGTGGTGAGGGTGTGTATGTGCACGGGCACGCACATGGTGGCTCTTTTTGAAGCAGTCCTGCCTGGGCAACATCACTGATAGAGGGATTGATCACTCCCTCTGTCATCCATATTAACTCCTCATCCTTTCTGTTGGCTCTTGCAGAATTTACTTTTCAGTTTTGCCAATAAATGATTTCCGTCTCTGCTTCTTCTCTCCTCCTCTTTGTAACCCCCTGCTGCTGAATAACACAAGTTCATGCCAGTTCTCTCCGGGCTGTTAAGGTCTTCAGGTATCTGTGCTAAACCAGTGACAGGAGGAGGCCTTAAAATAACTCCTGAACTCTGCTAAATCAGTGGTCCACACTCATGAGGTCATGACCCTTACAAGCTGCTTCAACATTACTCTAAGTGGTCCCAAGTGGAGTCCAAAAAATGTAAATCTTGACCTTTTGAGATTTAAACAATAATTCCAACAAACCAGTCTTAAAACCAGTCTTAAAGCCAGTGTTTAAACTGGTTAACATGGAGTCTGAGTCAGGAGGTTAAACATGTATACAGCTTTGTTTCAGGGAGCTGCAAACTATTTCAAGGAGCCAGTCGCTTTATATTGGGGAGGTGTTTACAAAATCTGGTTTGGACTTAGCGTTAAAATGCAAAAATATTTAATGTTTAAAAATATCTTATAGCTGTTCTGTAGTTATAGCTATGAGACATAATGCTGGCTCATGTATCATACAAATCTCTTGATTAATCTACATACAGAAGGTGAGCACCAGCATGCAGTTAAGTGGGAGTTTTAATCAAATTAAGCACAGGGAACACATGTCCCCATAGACTGTAATCTTGTAATCTCATTGTCAAGTCTTTCAATGGGCCTCTGCAGTAAACAGATCACTGTGCGACAGTCTAGGCTAATGAACTTCTTTTGATGACTAATGGATGAACAGAAAGCCCGTTAGTCACCTCATCCAGTCTGTTTTTCCTCTATCATCACTAATCATGTTGTGAAATGAGAGCGTCACAGAGAAAAGCTCCAGCTCCACTGTGATTTAAAAAAAAAGGTGTTAATACTCTAGTTTGATATGTCTTGTGTTTTTAAATGTATCCAACAACACAGCTAGATTCGAGCCATTGCATAATTTCCAGTATGGCAGCTTTGTTTGATAAAATGGGTCCTGTAACACCAACAAGCTTTAATTTCTTTGTACATTTGGTAAAAAATAGTGACAGTCTTATTTTGCAGAATGCAGAAAGCAAACCACTTGGTCCAGGTTGTATGCCAATATATAGTTAAAATTACAGCCCCTTTCATTTTTGGCGCCCCCTGTGGACAAGGACATCTTTTGTTTGTTTGTTTTTTTGGTTTTTTTTGTTAAAAGCTAAGAGTTTTCTGACAAATGTATAATTATTTGTGATTGTTTTATGTGAAAATCGTAAAAGTATACAGTAGCTGTTTCACCAGCTGCTTGGCTGACACCTACCTAAAAATGACGATGTACAAATTTAGGGCGACCGTATTCTGACTTCCCAAAAAGAGGACACGACTACATGGGGGGCGGAGTCACAGAGTCACACAAAGTTAATTTTGAGAGTTTTTCGGGTCAGATTGAATGTAATTTATGCACTTCTAACTCTAAATCTATGTGATACAAAATCAAAACTTACATACAAAACCGCGGACATTTGAAGAGGACATGTGCTCACCCTAACATATTGTCAGCTGATGGTCTTGTTTGCTTCTGGATATCATGAAAAGGCATTAACACACATTTTAGTCCGTTTTATTAACAACAATAAAAGTCCTAACAGGAACTATAACAAAAGTCAACCAAGTCAAGCGTTGACGTTCTACAACTTCACCCTGACACATTGTTGTTTGAATGTCGGCCTCCACATTCAGCACTTTGCTTCTAATGAAACACATGGCAAAGTCTCAACGAGCTGCCAAGAATGACAACATTGTTCACACTCACCAACATCTAAAGGAAGCTCTCCATGTGTTATTCTTTAGTACAAACCCTGTTTACTATCAGAAAGCTGGACAGACGCTGTAAAAAACACTTTGTTTGAAGGCATCGTTTGCTATAGTTTGAGGTTTTTTGTGTGTCATTAAAGCTACTCTAGGGTGTTTTTGTCGGGCCACAAAAATTGACATTTGTGTAGCCCACTGTAATCTGCACACTGTTTATACCTTTAGCTATCGAAAGGTAGCATTATTTGTAAATGTGCGGGATAAAACCAACATCAGAGATTGGATGTTTTGTTTGGTCCACATGGGATGCCAAACTCAGCTCAAGCCAAAAGTTCCTCTCATAGTAGCTTTAAAATGTTTGGAGAGAGCTTTGTGAACACACTCAAGCTAGATAGACTCTTAATTAACAAAATAAATATCCTTTTTTTTTTTACTCACTAAAATACATAAATGGGGAAACTAATCTTCAGTGGTGGATAATATTACTAAGATATCCTTATTATTTAATAAGCATCAGAGACTAACATCATATATTACTCTATGTCCCCCACTTCCACGACTTCAATGACTCCCAATTGACTTGTTAAAACTTCTCATCCATTTATAGTTAACCCAAAGGTGGGATGAAATTGTTTTTTTAGCCCTGGGTAGTGTATTCAGGTTGCATGCTGCTGCAGCAATGCCAAAAATCAGGGTCTCTTGCGCCACATGTCCCCCAGGTTGGTCTGTTAGACATGTTGATTGTATTCTGGTAGATATGAAAACAGTCAGAGAAAGCGTGTCTGAAGGCGGAGTCAGTTTTGTTTACTCAATGATATGAATAGACACGCTAAATGGAGCAGGAGGGTGTTTCCAGTCCTACTTTCCTTTTGGGCTCTATGGGGAATGTCAGACATCCAGAGCATGGTCTATGAAGCCAAACTGAGGGCTAAATAACCCACGAATATAAGCACATTCTGCCATTCACTTACTCCTCTTAGGAGGCTTTCCAGATGAATGTTTTTTTAAGCATTTTAATCATGTTTGTTTTGGAATTTGGCAGCTTGACAGAGGGTGGAAAGTGTGTTTAGATGAAGTGAAACTGTGAGCACCCATGTGAGGCTGTCATGCTCCATGAACATGAAGGGTGTGTCTCCCTCTGCTGACTAACCCTGGAAGGACGCAGTTCTCCTTTTCCATCAGTCATTCATAACATAACACTTATAAATTAAATATGTATTATTGTGATTTGAATTAAATCTCATGAGCTCAATTTTACCCTTAACTTCAGAGGACCAATTTTTCCCTTTGACATAAGGCATTATGCAAAACAGGTTGGGTGTAGTAGTGGCCCTATGTCCAGCAGGTGGCATAAATGCACAAAACAAATGTGACTTATTTATGCTGCTTGTGCACCCCAACGTGGTTACCATGTGAGCACAAGCATGCCAGACATCTTTATGACACCTCCATCCAAAAAAATCATTTGTTGCCTATAAATTTCACTTGAGGTGTGAATGAATCCCCCTAACTTCAACTTTTAACCCTCTTAAATATAATTGTCCAACACTGGTATGAATTATTTGAAGTCTTGGACTGAGAAGAAAGAAGAGTAAGGGAAGACAGATGTAACTTAAACATAATATTTGGCTACCTAAGGGTGTTTGCATTACAATTTAGTTTATATAATTTGGCATATTTACTTTTACTAATGCAACAGCAGTACCTTAGAAGACAAAAAAGCAGCTGCACTGTAATAATTTTGTTAAATTATAAAGAATACAGCTGATTGAAACTGTTAAATTTACAGTGACCTATGTGAAGGACAAGCATCCTCTAATAGACGAACTTTAAACCACGAATTAAGCTTCATAAAAACGCTGTAAGTGAATTAAAATGCATTGTTTACCAAAGATAAATGCGTTTCTTGTCATTTTGTATTAGTATCCTAATACTCGTGTAACAAGTGTCTCCTGTTGCTCAGAGTTGGGTATTTTCTGTGTACATTCAGGCCATCTTGTGACAGTCACAGCTTCAGGGACATTCATTCCCAGCCTGTGATGCCCAACCAACAGGAAGCGCGGATTGATTTCTCCACAGCAAAGCAAGGGCGGCTGAAAAAAAATCAAAGCAGAGCTGATCGAAGGTTAAACCATAACCCTGGGATTAAACAAAAGGGGGGAAAACGCTTCTTTTACGCGTAAAACTGACGTGCCATCCGCTTAAAGAAAGGATTGTTCTCACGGAGATGGGATCTACCTCCAGGGTCCCCACCTGCTGGGCACCGTAATGGTGGTGAGTATCCATCCAGGTCTTTCCAGAACAGTCTCAGCCTCTTTTACACCTAACAAGTTACTATAGCTGTGAAGAAAAATGCGCCGAAACGTTAAAAAAAAATGCACTTTGACGCAATAAGAGAGTGTGCGAAACACACGCGTCACGCATTTTTGGTTGTAGTTCGTCTTTTATAAGATTTATATGATATTCATCCGCTAATTACGCATGTTAAACTCGGAGTAACCGGTTTGACGCGCATTTCAGACATTTCTCATGGCGTAGATGTGTCTGAAAACGAAGCGCAAATTAATCTCCCATTATTGCACCAAATTAAAATGGACGAAAATAACCTCCTTTGATTATGAGTAATCCCTACATGCACGGGGAGGAAAAGCCCCCGTGGTTACAGGTCCCCTTTGGTGTGAAAATGTATGCGTAATATGTTTGGCAAACAAGGCAAACGCACGACGAGGATTAGGTTATTGCCTCTAAAAGCCACTAACTCGGCTGACAAAACCCCATAAAGGTCTGTTTCTATTTTTGGAGGCTCTCTGTGTAGGTGGATGGATTACAAGCAAAAGACACATCTGGCGAGGACACGCCCAGACTCATTCAAACCCATTCATGGAGGGCTAATGTAAACCTTTATTATCCCTGGGAAAAAACAGCCTTCACTTGGAGCAAGACTTTGATTCAGAGGGATGGAGTTGTCTCTTCAGTGTGTGCCCGAGATAATATGAATTTATAGGGGGAATTAGAGCAGATTCAATCACAGTTCACGGCCCCTAACTGGCCCCCGAACCTTAGTTTGGGCGGCAGTGGTTTCCAGGAGATGTTGATGGGTGGCAGCATACGAAAGCGTCAACCTCAGTCGCTCCCTCACCGGTGCCTTCGCCTTCCTTGTTATTCCTGCTCTGTTTGGGTGTCGTCGTCGTCGAGTTGTTGCTGCTGTTGGCGTATCTTCGGGGAGAGGTTGGACAGTCGGTATGGCAGCGGAGATTTCGACGGGTTTTCGTGCGTTTGAAGTGCGAAAAGTGTCGTTTTTGGAGTGATGGAGGTAACGAGGAGACATCATCAACATGGCGACAGCTGCTGCGGCCCCCTTGGCTCGCTTTGAAACCGCGTCAGTTCAGGTATCGTCTGGCATGCACCCTTTTTATCATTTCTGATCCCTTATTAGAATTAAGGAATATTTCCTCTCACATAGTGTCATGTCAGTGTTGATCTGTTGCTCTTAAGAGATTAAGGATAAAAAGAATAAAACATGGTGTACTGTAGACACGTCTGCCACCTTTGGACTGGAACAGGTAGGCTACCAAATGAGGCAAAAACGTCTCTTAGTGCGTAAATGACGCGTAAAACTCGTTTTAACATCTCTGAATACTGCTCTGATTATGACTAATAGGCAGGGGAGAGTGGGGTAAGTTGAGCCACCTCCTGTTGATCATTGATCATGTGACCAAATATTTAGGAGATGGGCATCAATTCATGGAGTCTGTTAAGGTTAGAAGCTCATGGGTGAAGAGGTTAGACATTTATTTACAAAAAGTGAATTTACTCTGTCATGAGTTTTGTTAGAATTGTGTTCAGACCAAAAAAGATCATTTTAAATCAGTTTTATACATCAATTGTGGTATCTATGAGCTACAACATAAGGTCAAGAGCCAAGCATATAAAGTCCACCATTTTAGTTTCGAGGACTAATAAAGTCATCATAGTAGTTCTGGGGTAACTGAGAAAGTAAAGGAGTCTGATGAGAGGATCAGAGTTTCAGTTCAGGTTGTTGAAATGTTTTACTTTTTCTTTTCAAAAATACAGATCTGTGAATGTTCTGAATCACTTAAAGACATTCTCATGTTAAAATGGCTTTTTACAAAACCGCTTTTTAGCAGTTATATGCAATAATAATAAATATATATATTGTACCAGTTGAATTGTGTATAATAGATAGAAATACACATGAATGTGAAGAAGTGACTGTTATTAAGGGAGAGAGAAGGTGAGGGGGGGCTTTTTTTTGGTATGCTATATTATCAAGACAGTTCTGTTTACACTCATTCTGTTGGATTGCAGGGATGAACAACATCTTGAAATATATGCAGATACACTAGTTAGAGACAAAACTATGATTGCCTTGATGTAATGATCTTACCCCAGCACTTTCAGTACCATGGACAGCAGCGCCCTTCTGACACCATGTCAGCTGACATTTCAGTCGTTCAGATAAAACTCGAGCACTTTCAGCAGATTGAAAGCAAATGTCTGGCTTTGGAAATAAACAAAGAAACTAGAATTAGTTGCAAACAAAACGTATTGTCATGTATTATTTGTAGTATGAGGCAGCTGCTCCCACTCTTTCACACTCTGAACAGTGAAACATCTGTCTTTAGTGATGCCATGACACTATGAACACCTGGGCATGCAAATACAATCCAATACAAGAGTTTATCTACTTTCAAAGAGCTTCTCAGTTCTCATACTTTTTGACATTATCAGACAGGTGGTCATTAGACTAAATATTTAGCCCATTTTTGATCAAGGTAGACAGATTATGTGTTTTGTGTTTGAGTTTGTGAGATTCAATGCATGCAAATTCCAAATTCAATAACAGTCCAATGAACTATAATCAGTATCAGTATCAGCCCTGCAATATCAGTCAGCCTCTCATTATTTGAGACATTGTGGGTGGTGTTGGTGTGCTGTGTTGAAAGCTTAAGGGAGCAAAATATAAGTTACACTTCTCAATATAACGCACCTCACTACTTCACCACACTTCCTACTACTTGTGTGTAATTAAGTGAAGTTTATTAGATATAGCACCTTTCACAGAGCACTTCATAAAATAGCAGGAATAAAAACAATAACATTAAAAAGACACAAAACAAAAAGTCAGCGGTAACAAATGTAATACAATAAGATAACAGTTAAAGCATGAATTCTTGTTGTTATATCCTAAAGTTCTCTTCTGGTTTTTACTTTTCGTCTGGTTTCTGTTCTGCTCTTACTTTCAGCACCATGGACAGCAACTCCACTTTAACACAGCGAGCAGACACCAAACAATTAGCTCAACTAATACTCGAAAAAAATGATATTTGGTTCCCACAACGTGCCGTACAATGAGGCAGGTTTCCTCTTGTTTGCTTTGTAAGGCAGCTGCTCCCACTCTTTAGCAGAGCGGACAGCGAAACATCTGTGCGTGGAAAAATAGAGCAAGTGTTTAACTCAAGGGCGCTTAAAGGAGGCATTATCGCCGTAGTGAAGGAGACATGGCAAGTGCCATAGAAAGGACAGATTTTCCAATTCTGGTTGCTCAGAGATAATTGTTAACAGTTGTTGGTCGCTTTGGCGTCTTGGAGTTCGAGCCTGTTTGCTACAAATGGTGTCGCTGAGCTTTTAAAGGCAGTTGGTTTGCAGGGATTTGATGGCAGGAAGGCATGTGCTGAATAAGACTGGCAATGTGTCATGGTAGCGTCATTTTCACAGACTTTTGACCTCATAGAAATAATGACATTCAAGGTCAAGAACTTGACAGCTATATGAATCCTGATGTCGATACTAGAAGGCAGAATCTATGCCAGTGTTAGAGCTGGGTGATTAATGTGATCGCAATTTCTACTATCTGTCCCTGCAGTCATAAAATTATGATAATCGAGAATAAATGATATTGTGATGGAGCTTTATCAGCAGAAAATATTGACTTAACAGATATCAGCCAGGCTTTAACCAGACATAACAAACACTCAGTGTGTTTACATGCACAACGTAATTGGACTAAACTCATAATTTCTTTTTTCGACGAATCAGACTTCTCTCCTTGTCCAGGTATACATACAATTGAGAAAATTGTGTCCTGAGAAAGTGTCCTGATCCCCAAAACTAGGGGGCGATATGGGTCTTTTCTGCTGTGCTGTTTCTGACCCCATACAACAGTCAACAACAACAGCAGGTCCGTGCCAGATGTCAGAAGTGTCTACAACTGATGCTGGGCATTTTTGAGCAAGAAGATGGAGCATCGTACAGCTTGTTTTTGACGTACTTGATGTACATGCTACTTTTTATGCAGATGAGACGCACGCTACTCCTCTTCTGTGGTGTTTTCGTTCTGGGGGTTACGGGGGCGTGGCGCATGCGTACATGCATTGTCCAATCATACTCTGACTACACTAGTTACATGGTATCCAATCTGGTTGTCTTAATAAGAGTTCTTCGACTCCAATCGGAGTTCTCAAACGCCGATTATAGTCAGACTAAGGTGTACTTTAGTTGTCCAGTCTTAATCAGAGTAAGGCAATAATTCGGTTTACTTGAGTGTCATTGAACGCACAGCTGTCTATATGTAAACAAGATCACTTCTGATTCTTGGACGTCATGATTACTTTCAGTGCCAGGACTAACAAGTGTAGATCTGACTTCAGCCCCCACATGCTTTGAGTCTCCAGGGGTGGCCATCCTGTTAGCTTGGTCCAGAGGTGGGTGTGGATGTCAGGCCTGCAGGGTCGATCAGGACTCACGACACTCCACTGCTACCGCTGCCACCCAGTATCTCGTGCCAGACCAGCTGTCAGGCCACATGTCACAACACTGGCTCCCCGGGCTGTCTTTGGGACACAAGCAGATGTGTTGTACGAAAGGCCCCTTTGGTAGAGGCTGCAATTAATTCCCAGTAAATTCTTAGAAATACAACATTCACTGGCCGCTGTGGCTTCCTAATAAGCTTCCACTTAAACGGTAATGGATGCCAGACTTGGCTGTGAACCACATCCCTCGTTTCCTCGAGCTCAAATTCACCATTCAGTTATATAAAGGCATAACAGAACATTCATGTTTTGGGAAATTTTTTGCTATTGTGTTATTTACTGTTTCATTATCCTCCCAGATGAAATGGTGTGAATCACTGCATTCCAGATTTTGAGAAAACAGTCCCAACCTAAGGTCATATTACTCATATCTCCATCAGCAGATTGACGTCAGAGAACGATTCAAACTTTTCCCTTTTTTTTGGACGGACTGAGGCGGCACAGTGGTGTAGTGATTAGCACTGTTGCCCCACAGCAAGAAGGTCCTGGGTTCAGGGCGTTGCTGTGTGGAGTTTGCATGTTCTCTCTGTGTCTGCACAGGTTTACTCTGGTTTCCTCCCACATCCCAAAAACATGTAGACGTGGGGTTAGGTTAATTGGTTACTTTAAAACTGTATCTCCATCTTCTTGCTCAAAAATGCCTAGGAGCAGTTGTAGCCACTTCTGGCGTCTGTTGTTGTTGGGTCAACCGGACACAGCGCCGCCGAAAAGACCCATATCGCCCCCTAGTTTTTGGGAGGAGGACACGTTCACATCAATAAATCGATTTTCTCAGCTGTATGTACATGCAGACAAGGAGAGATGTCCGATTTGGCAAAAAAAAAATAAAAAATTATGAGCTTAGTCCGATTAAACTGTGCATGTAAACGCACCGACTGAGTGACAATCAGACTCACCTGGTCCTGAGAATTTAAAGGCCCAGAGTCTGAAAAGGCATTTGGTTGGGAACTGCTGCCCTGCTGCCTCTCATTTGTGTTGTACGTCCTTTGTGTTTAATTAATTTGTTCTTTTGTCACTATAAATCACTTGTTAAACTTTTGAAGGTATTTTGTCACTTTAATGGGTCAAAATTTGAGGAGAGTTGTTAGCTCCATAGGGTCGCCAAGCTACAGGAGGCGCACTCACCAGGTGGGGTGGCAAAACGTTATTTTTCCCATTCAGACCAGCGAGCTTGTACCTTAGGTTTATCCTGCAGGTGTATAGAAAGTTTAACATTGAAGACTAAATCATAAGTTGGTTCCTTGAGTACATTTGATCCATGAAAGCTCGACCTTTTCTGACTGGGAGATAAAGTGAAAGGTTTCGACTCGGTTAAGCTTTGGTGGCACGTATAGTCTAAAACTCGGCGTATATAAATAACTCCGCCTTGGTGTTTGGGGAAATGTTATTGTTGTCTTGACTTTCTCTTGCCTCCCACTCGGACGCGGCCTGAATGTCAATAGAGCTTGAAAGTCATTCATTCTCTTTCCTCAGACTGGGGCGGCCTCTAGTCCGACGTTTCCATTCAGGAAGTGGTAGAAACCTGATGACTCATACAGAGACACTTTTAAGCATATAACAGAGAGGGCAGCTCCAGTACGGCGTCCCACGAGGAAGAAAATCCCCCTTTGGTGCTCTTTAGCTGATAAAGCTCATGAGGGTTTCTTCAGGGGGAAGGCTTTGTTCCTGTGCTTCCTACGGGAACAAGACGAGCTTGTGGGTGCGAGGTTTGGCAGATGGTTCGCAAAGGGAAATCTCGGGTTGAGGCTGACTGTCGCAAAGGGAGGAAAATCAATAGTTCCTGAGCGCTGTTATGAAAACAGTCCATATTTTACCAATTTGAGGCTTTATACCAATCAATTAAAGCACTTCCTCTAATCCACCACAAAACACTCTCTCGGTGAAACAATCGCAGCTATTAAAGATTCACACAGAGAAACAAATGGGAAAATTTGGCGTAATTCTGATTCCCCCTGGAGAGTCTTGTGTTTGTCTTTTTCTCATGCTGTCCACTTGAGTCGACGCTGGCTATTTTTGTGTCCCAGGGAATTAACTAAACGCACGTCACAAACACCAGACCCTTTATTTATGGCTCGTGAAAATCTCCCCCTCCTCCTACCTGTGACCTCTGATCATTATAATCAAATAGATAGCTGTCATCGAAGTATAAAAGCAATTCAGGCATCTTCAGCAGCTTTCTTTTTCAGCCACTCCATGTAAATGTGATGGCATTTAACATGTCTGAATCAGAGTCTGAGTCATTCTTATGTAAAAGTCAAATCAACAGGCTCTCTCAGTCGGTCCTTTGACACTTCAAAGCGTCAAAACACTCAAGAAAAGGTTGGATGCATCATGTTCATCTGATCTTGATTGGTTTAGTCTGGATGGACGTGATATACGGGATGCAGTCGGTATAAATAAACTGCACTTGAAGGAGGAATATTGACCCCTCACCCGTTTTCCCCCTTCGCAGCTCTCTGCCCCAGCTGAGCCCCTCGCTGCCCTCTGACGGAGCAGGATGACAAGATGGCGCAGCTGCTTGTACCGCCCGGACCTGACAGCTTCCGCCCCTTCGTCCCCGAGTCGCTGGCCGCCATCGAGAGGCGCATCGCCGAGGAGGAGGCCCGGAGACCACGGGTGGACCGCCGCAGCGACAGCGACGATGAGAACGGGCCCAAGCCCAACAGCGACCTGGAGGCGGGGAAATCCCTGCCTTTTATCTACGGGGACATCCCGCCCAAACTGGTGTCCACCCCCCTGGAGGACATGGACCCTTTCTACAGCAATCAGAAGGTTCGTCTTGAACACCGTTAAATTCTTTATTTGCCTCAAGTTTGGAAAGTTTCAGGTCTTTACTTTTCAAAACAAACCCTCGGTGCTTGGAGGTAAACACACGGGGAGATATGGCGATTTCCTCCCACATGAGCTGCCAGCTGATTACATGACGGCATATCAAATTTTAGAAACAGATGCTTATTTTCAAACTTTCCCACATTAAAGACAATCAAATTTGTGTTTTATATTCGTGTTATATACTCATAAATCCTACTTCTCTAACACTTACCTCTTCAAAAGAATCTGCAGAAAGCATACGTTCAAATTCTCGGTGGTAACTTTTTTCATGTCGACGCCGCCGCCAACTGTTTGACATTAATTTAAGACGGTGGCGGCGTTAGTATTAAGCATTAACAGCCAAGTCCGAGTCTTTTACAGCACAGGCCAACGGAGGTGTTAATGCTGATCCGAGCGGCTGTGCCAGGTGACTGCGGTGCCAACATATCCCGCCTGGAGTGCAGCGACATTTTTATAACCACAGACCTGACCGGACGCCAGTTTATCCTCTCTGTTTTGATGATGCACACTGTCTCTCATGCGTCAGGATGTAACAAATGTGTCTTCTTCTTCTTCTCTCTCTCTTTTTCTTTCAGACCTTCATAGTATTGAATCGCGGGAAGGCAATCTTCCGTTTCAATGCCACTCCTGCCTTGTACATCTTAAACCCCTTCAACCCTCTGAGGAGAGTCGCTATTCGAGTTTTAGTACACTCATATCCTTTTATTGTGCGCTGTTCTCACAGCCTGATTCAGATTTAAGGGTTTATCAGACAAAAGGAGGTGCTGATTAGAAAGACTTCATGTTGTAATTGGTCCTCACATTCGATAAGGACATATATTCACATTCAGCTGAATAATAATGGATGTACAGAATTATAAAGATCATTATCTACTTGAAAGATTAAATCAGAGATAATGCTAAAATGAAAAAAAATAAACACAAGCGCTGTTTGTTTGTTTGTTTCCTTGACTTTGACTCTACCCTGTTCAGCATGTTGATCATGTTCACCATCCTGACCAACTGTGCTTTCATGACCCTCAGTAATCCTCCAGAATGGGCCAAGAATGTAGAGTAAGTTTCTCTCATTTTCTCTCAAACTAAAATGTGTTTTTTGATCTGCATTAACAATTTCAAAATCAAGACGTTTTATAAGTCCCAAAAAAGTTACTCTGCTTTATTGGACGTTTACTCTTCTGTTTTCATACAGTCCTGTAACTTTTGATTAACAGGAAGAAGCATCTACGCCATTTCAAAATAAAAGTGTGTTGCTGCAACTGCGGCTCAAATCATAACACAAGAGAGTTAAGTTAAAAGCAAATTAACAAAGTTTTGAGGTGAAAGAAACTCAAAGCACGAAAAGAAGACTTAATAATGTCAACTTTTGTTTGTATTAATAAATAATATTAAATTACATTATCAGTTATATTAATAAATTCTGACACTCTTCTCAACATCTCAACTTTTTTCAAAAGTGTATCGTAGAAAACTTTCTTCTTAAAGCTCCTGTGAGGAACTTTTGATCTGGCGCCTCCTGTGGACAAAGCGGTGTTTAGTCAAGAAGCGTCTCCTGACAAAAGTCTAATTCTGCTGAGTTTGGACAGTCAAATTTATCATTAATCATGTACATTATTAATTATTAATATTGTTTATTAATATTAATATCATTAATTGTGAATATTATTAATTATTAATATCATTAATTAATATTAATATCATTAATTGTGAACATTATTAATTATTAATTTAATTAATTAATATTAATATTATTAATTGTGAACATAATTCATTATTAATATCATTTATTAATATTAATATCATTAATTATGAATATTATAAACAGAGGGCTGTTTCTGTAGCTGCTTGGCCGAGCTTCAGGCATTAAAAAACCCAGCAATTTTGTCCCTGATGGACTTTTATGCTTTTTTTATTATCATAAAAAGGCATCAAAAAAATCTATTCTATTTATGTAAAGAAGAGCTTTAATTTTTTAAAATCTCATCCCTGTTCTCATTGAATCAAACAAAATAAGCATTTATGAGATGTGACCTCCAAAACTCCAATCAAATCAGTCTGTCACCTTGCCTCTAAGAAGCTAAATTTCCTCTCTCTGCATCTCTTCCTCCTCTAATCCCTCTCTTCCTCACTCTTTTTGCCCACTAGGTACACGTTCACAGGAATTTACACCTTCGAGTCTCTCATAAAGATCCTGGCCAGAGGCTTCTGCGTGGGGAAGTTCACTTTCCTGCGCGACCCCTGGAACTGGCTGGATTTCAGTGTTATCCTCATGGCGTAAGTATTGTGACAGGCAGTGTCAGGATCAGCTTAACGTGATTTGGCGTAGATAGAGGGGGGGCAACGAGCGCTGTCTAATGCTAATCGTGAGGAAGAGGAGTGGGATAATCTGAAGCTTATGGTCAAAAATCTCAAATCTGGTCTGTTTTAATAGATGTAATTCCCTTCAGCATGAACTTTCTTGGCCTATATTTGTTGCACGCTTCAACTGATTTCTCTCCCTGATTCCATAAAAAAGGCCTTCAGCGCTGGGTTTTACAGTGCAGTTTTGATGCTTGTAAAGTAGCATTTGTTGCAAACTGTTCAAACCTGTGACCTTGTTCTGTCAGAGGGGGTTGTATCATGTCTCAGATGTGTGCTTTTCTACTCTTGGTAACTGTGCATTTGATCCTGCAGGTATATAACAGAGTTTGTAAACCTAGGCAATGTTTCAGCTCTGCGCACGTTCAGAGTATTGCGAGCTTTGAAAACTATCTCAGTTATACCAGGTAAGGCCGCCTGCGCCTGCTGCCAGCACTCCTGCCATTTGTCCTCTGTGCGTGACCGTTTGCCGTTCCCTCCCTCCCCCGACCCCCATCCAAATCCTTTTGTCTTGTCCCGCCATGTGTGTGGGTGCCTGATTTGTATGCGCGCGTGTATGCTCTATCCTCCCCTTCCTCCCTTTCCTCTTCCTCCTTCCCCCTCCCTTCCCTTACAGATATGTCACAGAGTTTGTGGACCTGGGCAATGTCTCAGCACTGCGAACCTTCAGGGTTCTGCGAGCCCTGAAAACTATATCAGTCATCCCAGGTGAGAGAGCCACCCAGGCCCTGTAGGGTTTAACCAAACGCGAACGGCTATCTGGCTAGCATCCCAGCACATCTCAGCCTGACGATGTCGCCGTATCTTCATGCTGCCTTCTTCCCAAGGCCAGTAAAAGCTGGAATCTGGCTCCAATCTGCACAGATTGACATGATTCATAGCTTTTAGATGCATCCTTTAAGGCTGAGATCCTTTTGGTTGAAATCTATTCTTGCCTTGGGAGACTTACGAGTAGATTTTGTGCTCTATTTGTTTTTTTACTTTCTGCATGAGACATTGCAAAAGCCTATTTTTCTGGTGGCAAGCACTTCTGTGTGAAGGGGTTCCTCCTTACCTTGTTTTTCCTGTGCATGTCTTGTTCAATGTCTCGTGTGTGGGTGTGGGTGTGTGTGTGTGTTTGGAGAAATCGTGGTGAGCGGTGGTTGGATGATGGCGTTCTGAACACTAACACTTTTGCATCACGTTGACAAAAACTAACACAAAGACCATCCAGGACACCTTGGGAAGCTTGTCATTGGCTTGGACATCATCTACTCAAACTTGAACAACACATTAAGATTCTACTTTAACATTTTATGCTGAATTTTTGTATTATTTCAAAGTCTAGTGCAAATAGACCTTCATGAAAAAGTGGTTTTAGTCTACTTATCTTAATCTCAGCAAGAAATATAGTAAAACAATTTATTTACATGTAAAACTTTGTGAGCCTTTATTACAAATAAGAGCTCAATTTAGCTGTTGTAAAGGCATGGTTGACGATCTGAGAAACAGTTGAAAAAAACTGAACCGTTGAGGCAGATTTGAAAAAAGCGTCCCACCCCCCCACTCACAAACCTCTCCCCTTTGTGCTCCACGATAACTCCCCCATGAACCTGTATCGCCCCCTCTGGCAGAGCAAGAAGCCGGCCAGCAGAAGATCCTACGCTAGCTTCAAATGGGATTCACCATGTCGGATTGTTAGTGACTAGCGGAAGTAAACACCAGTTTTGCTAGCGAGCGCCATCTGCAGCTGCCTGGACAGCTACCATGTTGACTTTGCAGAGACTAATAAGAGTTATTTATGTAACATGTGCCAAGATAAAAGGTGATAAAAATGACCTGTTCAACAAAAACTCTGCGTCTTTTTTAAGGGCCAAATCCTGGCGGAGCTTTCTCTACCGCTCGAAGGATGACCCGATGTTTACTCCAGTTAGATTCCTCGCTTGGTCACATTTCCTTTTTGACTCCACCCCTTCTTGTCGGCTTGATTTTTCTTAGCACTTTTGTGGCAGGGCAAGCAGAAGCAATTTTTATACGTCCTTAAGCTGTCGCTAAGCTGCTACGCTACTTTTAGCCGCTGAGAATTCTGAGGAGGGCCGGGAGAGTGGGAGGGGACGAGTCGGAACTACAGGAGAGGGGTGTGTCGAACAAAGCGAGCAGGACATTACCAATAGGAGCTGTCCGGGATGCGATATTCTTTTTTGGAAGGATGGTAGGGTAAAGTCCCGCCTCCTTCACCTCTGCTGGAAACGTCATCACACGCTCAAGCTAAACGTGGTGTGTCGGCTCTGTACATCGATCAGAACGTTACAGAACATTATCACACTTCTGAATCTCCTAACCCTAACTCTAACCTGACAGACGATGACGTTTCGAAGCCATAAGGACTAACCAATCGGAGCCCAGCATTTCTAGCCAATCAGAGGCAAAGGAGGACGGGACCTTCCCCTGTTATCCAACAAAAAAAAATGATGATGACTCCCGTTGGTCAATGTTTTTGCAGCCCTGGACCTGCGAGGGTGAATGTTTATTTTTCCGTTCTTTTTTCTCTTCACTTTGTTGAGATCGCACTATCGGACCATGATCGCCATAGAAACGAGGTTCATCATAGTTACCAATCTCTCCAATCGTCAACCATGTCTTTAAAAGCAGCGTTACAGGTGAACATGTAGAGGAAAAACCCACATAAAAACATCATTTATTGTAATTTCATCTGCACTATAACAGACGTGAGAAACAGAGTTTCTCTTGTGCACCATAAGCAGTGATCTGTGCCAGCATGGTTCCTGTATGAACGCCCGTAAAATCATACAGGAACCTCCATCCATCCAGATCCTGCTGGCTGCTTGCTGCTGTTAGCTTCTATTAGCAGCTTCTTCTGTTTAGAAGCGAGTGGCTGTATGAAACACTAATCACCCTGCGATGTCCCTCTCCCGCCCCCTCGCCCTCTCCCACATCCAGGTTTGAAGACCATCGTCGGCGCCCTCATCCAGTCCGTCAAAAAGCTATCGGACGTCATGATCCTCACCGTTTTCTGCCTCAGCGTCTTCGCCCTCATTGGCCTGCAGCTCTTCATGGGCAACCTGAGGCAGAAGTGCGTTCGCGTGATGCTCAACAGCACCATCAACGATAGCGCCATTTCTGATGACACCATGTTCTCCAACTACAGCCTGATGGAGCTCAACACCACGTTTGTGCAGAATGTGACGGGGGTAAATTGGACGGAGTACATCAACGATGAGAGTAAGAAGAGCCGGGGGAGTGCTCGGTTAACCGGGGTCAAGTTAGAGTCGGATACAGATGGTATGAGTCAGATAGGTGCTGCTTTGGATGCAGAGATGGGTCAGGGTGGTGGTGGAAGAGAGGGGGGAGGTCGGGCATGTTGGCCCGCCGTGGTTATAAGGAGTGACAGGATGGCTGCGAGCACGGGCCAAGCTTTCAAGCAAAGGCTGGTGGGGGAATGTGGGAAATGTGGCAGATAATCGCCACAACAGTGATACCCCCCTCTCTGCCCGCCATCACTCTCCCTCGGCCCATCTATGTGGCATGAGCAGCTGAAAGTGCAGCCTGAGTCACTGACTGTCAGCAGGATATCGAGGAGACGTGCAGCAGCTCCACGACAAGCTGATGCCAGAGAAAGAAGAGAAGGGACAAGAGAGAGAAAGAGAGACAGGGATGATTCAAATGGAAGGGCTGTGATTAAATCTGGTGTTTTTATTGTATCATTGAATTTGTTCTGGCAGGCTGGATGAAGAAGAGCAGCTTTTTGACGTCATTCAAGCACATGCATTGTTTGTCAGGCCTTTTATTGTTGTCATTTCGCTGCGCCATCGTGGTATTTGAAGCTAGAAATGGTAATTCTGAGTCAGAGTCATTTGTTCATGTGGCTATTTGCTACCAAGAAGTGCCTTGGAGATGGACAAAGGTACTTTATTGATCCCAAACTGGGACTTTTTACTCTCAGTGGGATGCATAATGGAAAATAACTCAATAAGGTCTAAGAAGCTAGTTCCAAGTCTGCCTCAATCCAGCATGATGTATGTTATATGTAGTAAACCTGTCCCTTAAGGGCTGAGGACAAAAGAGGGTGTGTCCAAATATGGTCACTTCCTGAGCAAACAAAATGGCAATGGAAAAAAACTGCTCAACTGACGTGGAATTTAATAGCGGATGGGTGACTCGGTTCTGCGTTTGGTTTCGATTCAGTGGCAGCTACAGAGCAGAGTGGGTGTAACTGCGTCCAAACGAAAATGTGCTTATTTTACACACGCACAACAACACTCACCAAAAGGATGACTAATGCTTTTGGGTGTTGAAAAAGAAAGAGCAAATCACCACTTTCCTCTCGCTACATTATTACACCGCACATACTGAAGAGGAACCCACAGGGTTCTTATTGTTTTTCTGTCCGCCTATCTTTCTCTTCATTTTCTTCATACCTGCTGCTTCACAACTGCGATGATGCTTTCACTGACCACACTGTGTGTCCCCTCTCCTCTAGGTAATCACTATTACCTCCCGGGCCATAGGGATGCTCTGCTCTGCGGGAATGGCAGCGGTGCCGGGTAAGGCTTGACATGTTTTATTTATATGGCCAATTAGACGCACCACAAAGCTGAGCATAGACAATTAGTGTTGACGCCGAGGCATTGCAGGGATCCAGAGTGCTAGTTAACCAGAAGTGAATTCCCTTTAATGTGTTTGGAAATGTTAAAACTGCTCACTGATTCTAAAATGCTACCAATCTGATGCCATCGATACCATTTATCATTCTGAAACATAAACATAGATTAGAGATGACGACTGCATGCTGTCTGGCAAGGTAGTGTCCCCCCTGTTAAACCCATTTGGGGATGGAACGATGATGGTCTGCCACCCCCAGAGGCCCTCCAAAGAAAACAGAAGCAGGCTTCAAGAAATGGTCATGACGGACCTTCATTTCGAGGGATATTCTATCTTTTCTACCTTGAGAGAAAGTGAGATACAAAATATGTAAAGCCCACAGAAACTTCACCCTTACCTGGAGTCCCTTTAGAAAAGAATTTGTAGAAGGTTTTCCCCTTTCAGTGATACATCTTAAGTCAGGGGTGGGCGATCGTGCCATGGAGGTTTGGTGAAATCACATGGTGGAGTTTTGGGTTGGAAAGAAAACCTGCAGCCTCTCGGCCCTCCATGGCACATGATTGCCCACCCCTGTCTTAAGTTGTATTGGATAGTTACTACCATTTTAAAACATTCTCAAAACATTAATTTACTGAACTTATGAGAAGAGGTCACTCTCTGACTATTTTTGTTTTAGTTTTTTTCTGTTTGATTTATTTTTTGTTCAAGAGCCTAAAGGGAGGGGGTCTATGTTTGGAAGTTGTATGTCTGCAAAATAAAGTCTTAAAAAATGGTCATGAAATATTGGAATGCCGATTTGAGCTAATTTTCAGCTCCATCTGGACACCAGAGTTTGAGGACAGAGCTAGTTCAGGCAGGTCATGGACTCCAGTTTAGCCGATGGTACAAAAGGTGATCGAAGACCATATCAGCTGACAGCTACACCATGCATCCAATTAACAAAGGTCCAAATAGGCATTCTGTTTAAACTGTGGAGATCTTTGCTGTTGCTCTCCCTACCTTGGCTTTTATGCTGTTTATTTGTTTGTTTGGAACTCCATTAGCTTTCACAAAGTGGTTGCTAGTCTTCCTGGGGTACAAAAACTTAAAATCACAATACAATTACATTTCAATGATTAATAATAAATAATGTTACAGACTCAATTCATGATTCTTCACAACATTAAAACTCCAATATCTATGCTTTTATAGTTATAGTCCTTTTAAAATAATACCTACTGCTTATTTGCTGTGTGCTTGTAGGCAATTGATTACACACTTCCAAAGATCTAAATAAGAGAATGGAACAATTACAAGACATGTTGATGACAATAGCGACTGTACACCAATTTGTCCACAAAGAAAGTTGGATACCCTGCGAATATGGCAGTATGCATATGGTAAAGAATATTTATAATTAGCTTGTTGTGTACCTTTAACCACCCTAAGGCGTTGTGCATCTCATTCACATTCGTTCAACTTTTATACAGTATCTTATACATGTAATAGGGTGGACTTGAGGAAACCTTGGCCCTCATTACACCTAACTACACCTAATCTACGCTCAATCTATATCCCCGTAGGCTGTGTCCAGAGGGCTTCGTTTGTATGAAAGCTGGACGTAATCCAAACTACGGCTACACCAGCTTCGACACCTTCAGCTGGGCCTTTCTGTCCCTGTTCCGACTCATGACCCAGGACTACTGGGAAAACCTCTACCAGCAGGTTGGTAAAACTCTGATAATAATACGCAAGTTTATCAAATGTATTTAAGGTAGATGACGTTAAAGTTTGGGATGTATTGTGTATTGGAAAGCAGCGCAGCTCCGAGTGAGGGCTTTTAGTTTACCTGGAGTCAGTAAAATTGTCCCTGAACAAACATCCATTTAGTTTAAAAAGAGCTTTTTGTAAAGGGTGTGTCATTCTGTAATTAGACCAAGCCTGTTATGTAAGCTTTTGTTTTGTTTTGTTTTGTTTTGTCCTGCTCTAATACAATGCCGCAACTTGACATTTGCTGTCACCAAACAACAGGATGACCACAGCTAAACACGAAATATTGTGCTGCTCTGACTACAAAGCAGAACGGGGACAAAGAAACTGTCATGGGTGGCTGGTTTTCTGATAAATTTCTAACAATCCCTCCCTCACGTGTCCCGGTTCCATCAGACTTTGCGGGCGGCTGGAAAACCCTACATGATCTTCTTCGTCCTTGTCATCTTCCTGGGCTCGTTCTACCTGGTCAACCTGATCTTGGCCGTGGTAGCCATGGCTTATGACGAGCAGAACCAGGCGACCATCGAGGAGGCTCAGCAGAAGGAGGAGGAGTTTCAGGCCATGTTGGAGCAGCTGAAGAGGCAGCAGGAGGAGGCACAGGTAGGACTTTTTTCTCTTTCTGTTTGGAGTTTTTGGTAGAATTGAGCGTTTGGTAACAAGTCTGCAAGGAATTAATTAGAGTTATGTTCTTAAACTTCTATTTACTAATGGTTTCTTCGATGAAAGGGTTCACTGAGACTTCAGCAACAAGGGAGATTTGGGACTATCAGAAGACTAGGCCTGGGTTCAGTTAAAGCATTTATTGGCATGTACGTTCAACTCAAAACCCTGTAGATCAAAAATTTCAACCTTTGCAAACGATTTGCAGCATCTAGATTTCTAAACTGCCTGCAATGCATCAGACAAGATAGAGCCCATATCTATCTTTGGTGATTTGACAGTATAGAGGGAGTTGTTGTGGTTTTCTTTTGCTTATCTGGGTCCGGGTCGCGGGGGCAGCAGCTTCAGGAGGGAAGCCCAGACAGCCCTCACCCCAGCCACTTCCACCAGCTTCTACGGGGGGATTCCCAGGCGCTCCCAGGCCAGGCGAGAGATATAATCCCTCCACCTGGTCCTGGCCACAAGGTCCCCTCACGGTGGGACATATCTGGAACCCCCTCTAACGGGAGGCGTCCTAACCAGATGCCCGAGCCACCTCAGCTGACTCCTCTGGATGCGGAGGAGCAGCGGTTCTACTCTGAGCGCCTTCCAAGTGTCCGAGCTCCTTAAACTATCTCTAAGGCTGAGCCCGGACACCCTGCGTAGGAAACCACTTGTATCTGCAATCTCGTTCTTTCAGTCATTACCCAAAGTTCATGACCATAGGTGAGGTTTGGCACGTATATCAACCGATAAATCGAGAGTCTCGCCTTACGGCTCATTGTCCGTAGGTCAGTGATCGACTTTGTATAGAGGGAGCTGCATCCCTAAATGGTCTGGCTGCCCTTATAGACGGTCAATTAGCAAATAGATGGGAAGTACTTTGTTTAATTACCCAATCTCAATAATGGCTAGTCACTTCAGTGAACTGTACTTAAGGTCTTTCAGAGCCAGCCAGACAATAAGTTTTATTCTTGTGATGACAACATCATTTAGTCCCATTTACATATATATTAATCACGGTTTGGCTCGAGAACATGCAAAAGCTCTATTTCCTTTGATTAAATTTCACCATCTTGATTTTATCCTACCTCATCTTAAAATGTTGCTGCCTTGTTTGTTGTTTCACCCCTGCTCCTTCTTTCAATGGCTCCCAGGCTCAACACTGTCTTATCAGGCTTGTGCACATTCAGAGTGTTGTTGGATGTGCAGTCGTTGCCATGACAGACTCTCCAATCCTCAGTGTGCTGTGCGGTTTGTCGAGAGCCTCTGATATTTTTGTCAAAGACTTAATTTGATCCACTCAAAACGTCAAACCTTTCCTCTGCTGAAGCATTGAATCACGATGGAATAACACTTCTGCGCAAAAATAAAAGCACCTGAAGAGGCGGTTTGCCTGTTTGCAGATGATGGAGTAGTTTATACTCTGGAGGGAAATCTGTGCCTCTCATTTTGTATCTTGTCCTTGACGTCTAACAATGCAATTACCTTCTATTTGCCAAACAAATATGCTGTTACATAACCCATGATTCATATATTTACTTTCACTAGAAGAATGCAGAAATTCAGTATTGTTTTGGTTCGCTTAAAAATATTCACTCCATATGTAGAAGATGTCTCAGGCTTATTTGGCCGCTGCTGCTTCTCTCAGCTGCCAGACTTTCTCTCCTCCGCTCCGGTCTGCCAGAGCCTTTGAGACAGGCAACTGCGTCACCATGACAACTGTGTTTGCGTTCTCATTGGTTGGCAGGTTGCCGCGGCAGCAGCCACCGAAAGCGGAGAGTACAGCGGGAGAGGGGGCCCCACCTCGGAGTCCTCCTCGGGGACGTCTAAGCTCAGCTCCAAAAGTGCCAAAGAGCGACGCAACAGGCGGAAGAAGAGGAAACAGAGGGAGGAGGAGGAGGAGAGGGGGGCGCGGGACAAGTTCCACAAGTCTGAGTCTGAGGACAGCATCAAGAGGTCCAGCTTCCGCTTCTCTATCGATGCCAACAGGCTGTCTTATGAGAAGAGATGCTCCTCACCCAACCAGGTAAATAAATCCCGAAGCATTCTCAGACTGAAACTAAATTGATCTGGAGCAATCCACTGTCTGTGGACATAGGTCAAAGCTGCATCCACAAATGCAGGTTATCAGTCATCTATATAAACAGAAATGTCCAGATTTTACAATAAATAGTGGAAAACTCTCCTGAGATCTGATGAATCAAAAATTTGCCATTCCCTTTGGAAACCACGGACGCCATGTTCTTTGATCTACAGAAGAAAGGCACAACACAGCTTACGAGTTAATAATAGTGCAAAAGCAAGCACTAATGATGGAATGAGGATGGATTTAGCTCATGGTATGGGTAGCTAGAGGAGCATGGGAGGACACCATTAATGCTTAAAGGTTAAAACATACTCCCCAAACCTCCAGTGCTCTACTTTCTCCTTTCTAACTCAGATTTTCTTACTTTCTTTCTCTCTCAGTCTCTTCTCAGTATCCGTGGCCCTCTCTTTTCACCTCGAAGGAACAGCCGTGCCAGCCTGTTCAGCTTTCGAGGACGGGCGCGCGACATGGGCTCCGAGAACGACTTCGCAGACGACGAGCACAGCACTTTTGAGGAGAGCGACAGTCGGCGTGGCTCCCTGTTCTTGCCGCGTCGTCTTGAGCGCCGCTGCAGCGCTGTGAGCCAGACAAGCCTAGGAGCGCCTCGTATCATGCTCCCCGCCAACGGCAAGATGCACTGCACCGTCGACTGCAACGGTGTGGTGTCGCTGGTCGGCGGAACTTCAGTAACAACCTCCCCTGTAGGTCTCCTGCTACCTGAGGTGACTGTTGGTTTCATGTTTTATTTTCCCATTGGCTTCCTTTTTATTATAATTCCTTTGCTCTTGTTTAATTACTCATTTCAACTCAAGTCATTTTTGTGTGTTTTCCTTTTTTTTGAAAAAGTTGAACGAAAATCTCAATTTTTCCTCATGTTCTGTGCTCAGTTGCATTTTTAAGTTATTGTGCTTATTGTTTGATCCAAAAAAGGTAAGGTCTGTGATGTTTTGTATCTCTAGCCTACTAAACTTTAAAAAACACAGGAAGTAGCCATTGCCAGGGCAACGCAGGCATCTCATGGACACTGTAAATTTGCTCTAAAGGGCACTTGGTTTACTTGAAATGTATCCAGAGGGCACTTTGTTTACATTTAATCCACTCGGGGGATATAGTTAATGGTGTTGCCAATTGCGTTTTCAAGCTCTTCCACGTTTTTACATTTCCCTTTGTGTCAAATATTGCTTAAATGTCTGTTTTCTGATGTTTTTTTTAGGGGACAACCACAGACACTGAACTTAAAAAGCGACGGTCAGGTTTCCACCAACCATCCATGGATTATTTAGATGAACCAGGGGGCAGGCCAAGGGCCATGAGTGTGGCCAGTATCCTTACCAACACCATGGAAGGTAAAAATCTGATCATTTCTTTGCACTTTAAGAAACAAACTGGACTATATATATATACTGGACTGGTTATTGTCTTTTTTTCAGAGCTTGAAGAGTCCAGACAGAAGTGCCCCCCCTGCTGGTATCGATTTGCCAACACCTGCCTGATCTGGGATTGTTGCCCTCAATGGCTGAAAATCAAGGAGATTGTCAACATGATCGTCATGGATCCATTCGTGGATCTAGCCATCACAATTTGCATTGTCCTCAACACTCTTTTCATGGCTATGGAGTATTACCCCATGACGAAAGAGTTTGACAACGTCCTCTCGGTTGGAAACCTGGTAAGCATTGTTCTGTTACAAACCCACACTGGACGCAACAAGACCTAAAAAAGCATGTCTCTGAAAGAGGATGAGTATAAACCCACTATCTGCTCTGTGTCTTTAGGTGTTCACAGGTATTTTCACAGCAGAGATGTGCTTCAAGATTGTCGCACTGGATCCCTACTACTACTTCCAGGAGGGTTGGAACATCTTTGATGGCATCATTGTCAGTCTGAGCCTGATGGAGCTGGGCTTGGCCAACGTAGAAGGCCTGTCTGTGCTCAGGTCCTTCAGATTGGTAAGCACACTGTGGTTTTCCTGTCAGATTTTAGAAAAACGGTATTTATCGGCTCGGAAGAAAAGTTGAAATGTACCTGTACCTTCAGAGTGAGGACACAATGGCTCTCAATAGCATCCAGGCTATTAATAAGGTAATAAGGTAATGATGTAATGACGGCTCTTCAGCGGCACATGGACAGCCCCATGGAGAGCTGTTGTTGCCTTAAGGGCGCAGTGTGTTTTTACTCTAGTCATATAGTCATTAGCTCTTTGCTGCTGCTGTGCAGTTCGTGATTTCAGTCATTTGCACCCTATAAGACTCTGAAGTATGGTTCAAGCTGATGCAGCAAAACTACAGCACAGCTTCGTCCCATTTTAGTAAGAGTTTGTCAGTCTGTGAATTGCTAACAGTATCAATACCACTATTAAACTGTTAAATTAGATTTTTAGAAAGATTTATGTAATTGCTAGTTAGCCAGATGAATTTATGCTCCAGTACCCTAAATTTTACCTTTGAATTTCTTTTCCAACAGTTGAGGGTCTTCAAGTTAGCCAAGTCCTGGCCAACTTTGAACATGCTGATCAAGATCATCGGTAACTCAGTGGGAGCTCTGGGGAACTTGACTCTTGTTCTGGCCATCATCGTCTTTATCTTCGCTGTGGTGGGCATGCAGCTGTTCGGCAAGAGCTACAAGGAGTGTGTGTGCAAGATATCTGATGACTGTCAGCTGCCGCGCTGGCACATGCACGATTTCTTTCACTCCTTCCTCATCGTGTTCCGGGTGCTGTGCGGAGAGTGGATCGAGACCATGTGGGACTGCATGGAGGTGGCTGGACAGTCGATGTGCCTGATCGTCTTCATGATGGTCATGGTCATTGGAAACCTGGTGGTATGGGATTCATTAAAAATATATTTTTTTAGATGTTTTGTCTGGGTTTTATGATTAACCAGTTCTGGTTTGGGCCTCCCATAGTACCTTCATTGGATTTTAATATCTGGTATCATGCGTTGGGTAGTAGGTGTTAGGTATCTGGAACCAGGTGTCAGGAATTGGGTTTCTGGTATGAGTGGGAGTACCATATCAGTATAGGCTCCAATCTACATCTCAGCCAATATTGGACTGGTAAATGGGATCCATACATCTTCAATTATTGGCTAGCTCTTTGAGACAAAGAGTAATTTGCTTTAGAATTTGTATTTTTATTATTTTATTAAATGGATTGGTCAAATCTTGTAATGGACTTCTATGAATTCTAACTCATCTATGCCCTGTTGTCCACAACTGTCCAGGTCCTTAATCTGTTCCTGGCTCTCTTACTGAGCTCATTCAGCGCCGACAACCTGGCAGCAACCGACGACGACAGTGAGATGAACAACCTGCAGATTGCCGTGGGCCGGATCCAAAGAGGTATCGCCTTTATCAAATCCGCCGTAAGACAGTTCCTCCGCAGCCTCTGCTTCGATGGATCCGGTAAGGGCTCTGGTCTTGCTGAGGAGAGCAAACCGCTGGATGAACTGCACAGCAACGGCAAAGGCAACTGCATCTCCAACCACACCGCAGTAGAGATTACCAAAGACCCAAGTGGGGTGTACATGACGGAGGGCAACGGACGGCCGGGAGGCGGGCTGGTGGTTGGGGTCGGGGTTGGTGGGGACACTACGGGGAATTACCCAATGGAGGAGTGCGACTACATGTCATTTATTCATAACCCCAGCTTGACAGTGACTGTTCCTATAGCTGTGGGCGAGTCAGACTTTGAGAACGCGAACACAGAAGATTTTAGCAGTGACTCATCGGATGTGGAGGGCAGCAAGGAGGTAAGATGAAAGACTTTTTCTTGAAAATCTTCTGGGTTACATCATGGCGGTGTTTTAAATAGCTCCCTTTTCAGCCGAATGGTTAACGAAGCAAGTCAATCAATGCGCGAATATGTCAAGAGTGGCTGATTAGAAATGGCCTTTTCAGAAAGGTTTCCAACAGTCATGTAATTAAAAGTTGCTGACTCATTTGTGAAGTCTCTTCTTGCGTTACAACAAGACATACGACCAAAACTTGAGTTACTTTGGGTAGAGTTACATGGTCGACTTGATAATTTATGTAGTCTACTATGATATGGTGTTGAGGGACATAAGGGACAGCCTCCACATATTGCTGAGTCATTGTGTACCAAAATGACAACTGATTTAAAGTATTTAAGTACTCAACAATTGGCCAAAAATTCAAAAAGAAGTCTAATTTTCCTCAAACTTAATTGTCCAGGACTCAAATCCAAACCCTATAGTCTCAATCTCTGGTCTCAAAAAGCTGTAAGACTTGGACTCATCTATTGACCATTGACCTCAGCAAATGATAAAATGAACACCTAGGACTTGGAGTCAAGAATCAGACTTAGACAAGGTTTGGTGACTTGACTACAACACTGATTTATAATATTAGAGCAAACAGCAGGCTGGCTATTGTGTACGCCAGGCTGACAGCGCATTGGGACTGTGCACCCTGGTGATGTCAAGCTGCCACTGTGGGTGTGGTGCCAATTCCCTGTGATTCAAAACAACCCTGGAGACTATTTCTAGCCATGGCACCACATGCTCCATATCTGGATTAGGCTGTGCTTTCTTTAAACACCACCCGTCCCCTTCATCCCCACACCCTGAAGCCAGGGCTTGGTTCATTGCAGTAATAAAGCATCAGATATTTAAACATTTCTTACCACTAATGAGACTAGGCGTGCATTTTGTTGAGTCATAGTCAATGTCAAAACAGGATCCCACTCTTTTGCATGTTATACTCTGTGAGAGAAGTCCTAAATGTTGTTCTCTGAATCTAACCTGTCCCCCTTTGTGTTTAGCGGCTGACCAGTGAAAGCAAACTTGAACTTTTGGTGTGTTTGACTCACTTTGTTTAACCCCCCGTTTGTTATTGCAGCGGTGTCAGAGACGCTCTCAAGGTTTTCAATGAAAGGAGAATTGTAAGACCACTTTATTGTACCATAGCACTAACCATGAGGACTGCCTATGCCATTTACAGACGAACGATATGTTTTTTTCTCATACCTTCAATGGATTGCCCATTTTTCGTTCTTTGCCTGGTCTGCCCACCCCACCTTACCTCCCCACCCACCCTCTTTGCTTTTAACCCTTCCCTTTCCAATACAGCAGCACACTCGATGCTGTAACCCTTAAGTTTCCCCTTACCCCCTCTCCCCACCCTTTCATAACTGATCTCCAAACATCAGGCTGTTCTGCAGCTCCAAACCATTAGGAATGAGCGACACCACCTTTCTCCATTGATAGTCATCTAACATGGTCTTTGCTTTTGACTCCATTGCTTGGTTTTTGACTTGGTTTTTTGGGACTTGATTGGCATCCCACACTCCGAGCTTGAGAATGAAGGAAGAGAGGAGGTGTAGGAGGACAAGGAGAAATGAAAGAGAGATGGAATTGAGGAATGAATTTTGCTGTAGTTTGACAAAATTCATTTGTCCGGATCATAGCCCATGCATACACACATGAAAAACTTGAATGTACTTGTTTTCTGTGAAACTCAAATAACGCTGGAATGATGTAAGACCTCAGTAAGAATCATTATAAGGAGATAAATTTAAAGTAAATGCATCAAGACTGATTTTTGCAGCTTGGCAAACAGATGACACATGGCAAATCAAATTAAATGATGCATCTATCAAAGGTGATTTCTGGACTCCCAAATGGCACACCATTCTCATTCAATATAAGGTGTTAATAATTTGCTAAAATAATTACAAAACAGCATCCCAATTCTTTGGAATTGGAGTTGAACTTGTACAAGTAGTAAATCCTAAATTTTTGTACTTCCACGCCTGTGTTATCTTGTTTTGTTCTTCTGTAACTATCTTGCTTCCGAGCTAAAATAATTAAAAAAACACTTGCCAACATATCCCCTAATTTTAAAAGTCAGGTTTTGAGGAAAGGCCTCATAAAATCCATGTTCAGTCAAAGCAAAATGGGTTTCTTGCTGAAGGAGAGAAAGAGAAACCAGATGGAAACGCTCCTCCAGAAAATGATGCACTTGTGAGCAGCATGCTTCCATCATTCCCATGCCGTATTAGCTGGGTCCCACGGCAATCAGAGCTGCTGCACTGTCTAGGATGACATGTTTACACCTCACATGCCAGACAGGTCAGATATGAGGTTACATAACACTGCATTTGCCAGAAGAAAAGGATAGGAAACCTCAAACTTTCAAAAAAGTCTCTCAGTATGCAGATGATGGTGTAGTTTATGTTACACAACTGCTTTTAAGGGTTTGAGGGGAGTGCTGCATGGAGTCAAATCTAAAGTTTGAAGGAATGACTTGAAGAAACACTTGTATATACACGTGTTTTGCATAGAAGAGGTGTACTACAGTTAATCCTGTATGCTTTCTGGGTGTCCATGAGATCAATCCAACTAGCTTTACAAATAGGAACAAAAAACTTGCCCACATGCTGTCTTATAAACAGTGCACAGTACTGGTTTTTGCTGGTAAGCTAATGTGGTTATCCGTCTACTTCAACACCGACAGAAGAAGCTTGTACACTGCTTTAAAGGAATGGAATAAACGTGTTTTCATGCCACTGATGAAAATGTAGAGGGGGGTGGGTTCTAGCTTTGAGGGCTGGGAGAGCAGTTTTCGCATGAACGATTTTCAAGATGAGATCATTTATAATTGGGATCATTTTTCAGTGGACATGAAAATACTTCAGCACACGTTCTGCTTGGTACTATTTCAGGCTTGGATTGGTAATGCACTGGAATACTGCATGCACTCTTCCTCGAAGTGAGGTAACATCAAACGTACCCACAGCGCCCTTTTCCGTAACGCCAACCTCCTTGTGCCGTGTGTTGCCACATAATCGGATTTGAACCATCAGATAAAAGTCGTAACAGAGCCTGTAGGTACATTTGATCGATGCTGCATGTGATGATGAAAATACAATGACTTTAAAAAGCCCAACTCTGAGCTATTTCAGTGCCTAGTCTCCACACTAAGGTATGCAGTTGTGGCACTGGGGTAGATGAGAATACAATGATAACCAGCTCAGAAGGTTGGCTCCTATAACCCCTGAGTTTCCTTCTCTCCAGGCTGTACAGTGTAATTATTCCTCTCATTTTCTTCCTCATCCATGCAGAAGTTGGACGTAGAGCCCCAGCATCTGAGCTCATCCGAGGGGAGCACGGTTGATATCCGGCCCCCGGGAGATGGGGTGGATTCAGTGGAGCTGGAGCCAGAGGAGTCACTGGACCCAGAGGCCTGCTTCACAGAGGGTGAGGAGAGAGAGAGAGATGAGTTAGGGATGTGGGAAAGTGGGGCAGAAAGGTGGGAGTTGAACCGCTCACACAGCACATTTCAAGAGGTAAAGGAAATCGCGTTAACTGCTCGCGCTTTGCCCCCAGTGTATTATATTTACGGCTGAGTGACGGTGAACTCAAATGCTCGGCAGAACAGAAAGGGAAGTAGTCCGTGGGAAAGTCTTGGTATGTAATGTAACCTGACACCTAGTCTGACACACCTCCAGTGCAAATCAGAGCGCACGGATACCTCCTCGGTTTTCTGTACGACAGGGTATTTAGGCCAAATTATAAGTGAAACTTTGAATATTAAGATATACTGTACATATATAATAATACAAGAGTCAAGTTGAAGATTTTTGAAGAAAAAATGTCAGCTTTAGGTCTGCAGTTTTCCCTGTATGTTATTTTAAAAGAGAATATATTAACATGCTCATTTTCCTCACTACCTAAAGGCTGTGTGAGCAGATTCCAGTGCTGCCAAATCGACGAAGAGGGGGGACATTATAAGAGTTGGTGGACCCTCAGGAAAACCTGCTTTATAATCGTCGAGCACAATTGGTTTGAGTCCTTCATCATATTTATGATCCTGCTCAGCAGTGGAGCGCTGGTGAGTCAAGCGTCCGCTTCCTATTATGACACAAAACCAGGGACTGCCAGTCATTTGAATTTTCTCTGTGTTGCACAGGCGTTTGAGGACATTTATATTGAGCAGCGGAGGAACATCAAAACAGTGCTGGAGTACGCAGACAAGGTCTTTACTTACGTCTTTATCCTGGAGATGCTTTTAAAGTGGGTGGCGTACGGCTTCGTCAAGTACTTCACCAACGCCTGGTGCTGGCTGGACTTCCTCATTGTTGATGTACGTATATTCAGTGCCCTATCTCCTAATATTGGGTCATTTAAATGTCTGAGTTCACTCCGTCTACAAAAAAAATGATATGCTAACTAAATACTGTCTCAGAGCTGCACAAATATCTGGTGACATTTAGGTTATTGTTTTTAAAATTTATGATTTTAATGTTTCTAATGTTTAAGTTTATCCATGTCAATTACAAGTTACCTCATGAGATCTAAACTTCAAAATCTTTCAAATGAAATATCAGTTGAATCCTAAAAATTAAAGAATTAATGTCCCCTAATTGATATTTCTGCAAATCTCCAAAACAGTTTCCATACAGAAAGTAAAAATAACTCTGAGTCATTTTTATTTCTGTCATATCTTTATCTGAACAAGACTTTCCTCTTCACCTTTAAAATTCTTTATCATCTCTTTAATTTCGTGCAGACTCCTCATTAATGCCTAATGAACCATTCAGTTCAAACACTCAGGCCGACCCTGTCTCTGATCCCTCACCTTTCCCCCCCCTGCTCGTCCCTCAGGTGTCCCTGGTCAGTCTCGTAGCCAACGCTCTGGGCTACTCCGAGCTCACCGCCATCAAATCTCTGCGAACGCTGCGAGCCCTGAGGCCCCTGAGAGCTCTGTCTCGGTTTGAGGGTATGAGGGTAAGGATATTTGGAGTAACAGCGACACAGAACCGGCTTGTTAAGTATGACTGTTTGCGGGCGAGCTAAAAGCTAACGTAGCTGCTGCATGTTTTACAAATCTTTCAAAAATCGTCATAAATTTAGGTCAATAAAAGCAGCTTTCTGCTTTTAGCGAGCCCCCAAATGTTAATCAAAAAATGTGATTGTAACCACATTATTTTATTAACTTCTCTCTGTCAAATTAAAGAGACCCTTTTGTCTGTATCTGCTTGTCTTCTCCTTGACTTGAATGAATATTTTACAAATCTCTACTTCCTATATTTCATAGCTAATGTTTGATGTTAGTTGATGGTTTTAGCTTGTTTTTAGGGCGCCTGAATGTAAGACTGCACGCTTCTTTCTACTTCTGTAGTTATCTTTTCTCCGCGGTTCAGCGCTGTACTTCCTCTATCTGCATGACCTTGTTCACATTGTGTCAATAGATGACCGGACATAGCTCTTCTCAGGCATTGTTCTCTGACGTTGCTTGTGTGGTGCCTTTTGACCTGTAATTTTTTTCTTTGTTGTGTGTCTTTTTTTCATTTACAGTCAAACAAAATGTTGTGACTTCATCCCGCCTCTCTAAGGTTTTTTTCTGTTTTGCTTTTTTACCTATCAAATGTTAGCTTTTTCTCCTGTCCACCTTCCTCTTTCCAACTGTGATGTTGTTAAATTCTCTTTGTAGAGCTTTATGGATGCAGACATTAGATATTTAATACAGCTTTTAATAATGCAGGAACAGCATGAATTTTTTAAGAGTCTTGGCTCTGGTATCAGCTTTAACAGCTCAGTCAAATCAGGTTAAGTGATTAGATGATTGCCACTTATCTAACATCGAACAGACTCTTTATTTGGGGGCTGTGTTTCTTTCTTGGGAGTCCTGAGTTTGTGTATGTGCTTCACCCTCCCCAGGTTGTGGTGAACGCGCTGCTTGGGGCCATCCCCTCCATCATCAACGTGCTGCTGGTCTGCCTCATCTTCTGGCTCATCTTCAGCATCATGGGCGTCAACTTGTTCGCAGGGAAGTACTATCACTGCGTCAACACCACCACCGATGAAAACATCCCAAGTAGCGTTGTCAACAACAAGTCCGACTGCTTGAATTTGGCCAATGACAGCGCTCGTTGGAGGAACGTCAAAATCAACTTTGACAATGTAGGGGCCGGATATCTGGCTCTGTTGCAAGTGGTGAGTTTTGAGTGGAAGACACAGCTAGCATGATTTAATAATTGCAGAAAATATCAAAGTATAAATGTGTGAAGATGTTTTCAGAAAGGAACTCTGCAGCTCCCTAGATACTCCGATTGTCTGGATTGTTTTTAGGAACCTTAACTTAACTTAACTTGCCACTTTCAAATTAGGTGTGAATGTGAGTGTGGATGGTTGTTGGTCTTAATATATCAGCCCTGCGATGAACTGGCGACTTGTCCAGGGTGTCCCGTACCTTTGACTGAAGATGCTGGGATAGGCTCCAGCCCCCCTGCGCCCCCTAATGGGAAAAAGGATGGATGGATGGATGGATGCATACTGAGGTACCACAACAACCCTATGATGACCTATCACATTGATTCTTCTCTCTTCTTTTTCCAGGCCACATTTAAGGGTTGGATGGACATCATGTACGCAGCAGTGGACTCTAGAAACGTACGTGTGTTGATGCTTGAATGGGGATTTTACAGATTGCTATCAGAAAATACCTCCGTATAAAATCCAGTTACATTTCATGTTATATTTTTGCTTTGTCTTGTTTTCTCCAGTTGGAAGAACAGCCTGAATATGAAGTGAACCTCTACATGTACCTCTACTTTGTCATTTTCATCATCTTCGGCTCCTTCTTTACCCTCAACCTGTTCATTGGCGTGATCATCGACAACTTCAACCAGCAGAAGAAGAAGATAAGTCACACTTAGAAACTGTTAAAACTAGACTAAACAAGGTGCTAAGTTTAATCCTTGAAATGGAGGAATCACCTTCTAGTAAGTAGCACCTGTCTACACCTCATTTGAAGATCAACATATCCACCGGATGCAAGTTGACATGTTATCTACACACCATGAGTCCTGGGCATAAAACTAGCAACTGCATTGGGTGGAAAATGAGTCTTACGCTGCACGGCAAAGTGCTTCACATAGAGACCCTTACGTTTGTCGAAGCCCTGACTAAGGCCTCTGTACATGGAGCAAAACTGGTGTGCAGATTTTAACACCTGAAGCTCCAGTAGGAACCATTCAAATAAAAGTGTAATGACCCTTACTTCAGCAAACAAAGGAAGTCCTTAAAAGACAACGGTTTTGTATACCAAGCCAGTCCCCCTTTTCAAGGCTAAAATAACACTCAGTTTGTTGGTCCATTTTGCTTGCTGTTATCAGCGTTGACTCTGCACTGAGTGGTCACAATCCAACACACAACAGGTGCCAACCCTGTGATACAAATTGCCAACTACATGCAAAGCCTGGCTACAAAACGGATGAAAAAGCAGGTCCAGCCAAAGCAGACCCACAGCTGTGTTTAAGGAAAAACCGAGCCACAAAATAACGGTTTTCTTTAGCATGGTGCCAAGGATTTCTGAGGGTGCATGAGTCACTGTGATCATCCCTCCTACAAACACATATACAGTATATATACGCACCTGCAGAGTCATGGTGAGAGTCTGGAAATGTGCCTTCCATTCAACTGAGTCCTAACAAGTAGAATTGGCAGTGCTGTCGAAAGAGGGAATGGGGAAGGAGGAAAGGGGGGTGTGCACTGTGGTTTGCTGGGTGGATGTACTTCACCGCCTGTGTGAGACATTGTATCAGTATGTGTGGCTCAGCAGCCCCAAAGCAACGGCGTCACACACAGATGGTTGTTCAGTGTTGACACCAGTCCTCCCTCCAGACGTGCATCATGCACTCACTGAGCAGAACTGAGTGTGATGTGTGAGCTGGGTGAGACATGGCGAAAGGGGACTCGTTTATTTGACTAATGAGGCCGAAGTGACTGTGTTTGGCGAAATTTTGACATTTATTAAACAAGTTATCGTCATGTGATTCATTTCAGTGCTACAAAAAGTCAAAAGTGAATTGGTCCTGAGCATTGGTTCCATTTGTACCTCACAACTGTAAACACCGCTGTATGCTGGTCTCAGTTACTCGTTCTGGTTGTCTTATGTTGGTAGATGTTCTGGGTGTGTTGTTTCTCTCGACCACAAGATGAGGCAAGAACATTTTTTAAGTTACGGTGGTGCAAAGCTAGCTAAACATGGTTGTGACCAAGTTTTGTGTTCTCCCTTTACTTTGGAGGTCAAGACATCTTCATGACTGAAGAGCAGAAGAAATATTACAATGCCATGAAGAAACTGGGCTCCAAGAAACCCCAGAAACCAATCCCGAGGCCTGCGGTAAGACTCTGATAATTCTCGCCAATGGACCAAAAGCTGAGGTGTACCTTGACTAATAAACATTAACTTTTGTTTCTTGTCCTTCTCTTCCTCCAGAACCCATTCCAAGGCTTTGTGTTTGACATTATCACAAAACAGGCCTTTGACATTGTTATCATGATCCTCATTTGCCTTAACATGGTGACCATGATGGTGGAGACGGATGACCAGACACCAGATATGGACAAAATCCTGTACTGGATCAACTTGGTCTTCATCGTGCTTTTCACTGGGGAGTGTGTGATGAAGATGATCTCCCTTCGTCACTACTACTTTACTATTGGTTGGAATATATTTGACTTTGTTGTGGTGATCTTGTCCATTGTAGGTGAGTAGATCTCTAAGATTTGTAGAATTCTGTTACATTTTGAGAGAAATACAGTGTTGAATGATGTTTTGTTTTTTTGCCTTTTTAGGTATGTTTTTATCTAAAGTAATTGAGAAGTACTTTGTATCCCCGACACTGTTTCGAGTGATCCGTCTGGCCAGAATTGGACGCATCCTCCGCCTTATCAAAGGTGCCAAAGGCATCCGGACACTTCTGTTTGCCTTGATGATGTCCCTTCCCGCCCTTTTCAACATCGGCCTTCTCCTCTTCCTTGTCATGTTCATCTACGCCATCTTCGGCATGTCTAACTTTGCCTACGTGAAGCGGGAGTCAGGAATTGATGACTTGTTCAATTTTGAGACTTTCGGGAATAGTATGATCTGTTTGTTTCAGATCACCACATCAGCCGGTTGGGACACCCTTTTGGCGCCAATTCTGAACAAGAGAGAGCCAGACTGTGACAGCCAAATGGAGCATCCTGGGAACTACTACAAAGGCAACTGTGGCAACCCAGCAGTGGGTATATTCTTCTTTGTTAGCTATATCATCATTTGCTTCCTCATTGTGGTCAACATGTACATTGCCGTCATATTGGAGAACTTCAGCGTAGCCACAGAAGAGAGCGCTGAGCCATTGAGCGAAGACGACTTTGAGATGTTCTACGAAGTGTGGGAACGTTTCGATCCAGATGCTACTCAGTTCATGGAGTACAGCAAGCTCTCAGACTTTGCCGATGCCCTGGATCCACCACTTAGGATGCCCAAGCCGAATATGATCCAACTCATCTCAATGGACCTGCCAATGGTAAGTGGTGAACGCATCCACTGCCTGGACATCCTATTTGCCTTCACAAAACGAGTCTTGGGCGAAGGTGGTGAGATGGATGTGTTGCGTGGGCAGATGGAGGAGCGATTTATGGCCTCAAACCCCTCCAAGGTGTCTTATGAACCCATCACCACCACCCTCCGTCGTAAACAGGAGGACATGTCGGCCATAATTATCCAACGAGCCTTCCGCCGTTACATGATCCGCCTGGCCATGAAGAAGGCCTCTGCCCTTTACAAGGAGCAGCTTAAGGAAGGAATTCGTGACCCAGACAAGGATGTCATGGTCATCAGCAAATTCAACGAAATCTCAACCTCAGACAAAACTGACATGACCCCCTCCACAGCTTCCCCACCCTCTTACAACAGTGTGACGAAATCAGACAAGGACAAATATGAAAAAGAAAACAGGGAAAAAGAAAATAAAGGGAAAGACTTGAAAGACAGAAAGAAATAGACTTTTTAAAAAGGAACAAAATGCATCAGAGACATGAGAATTTGTTTACAGCTTCAATTGGGGGGGAAGTAGACGTGTGCTTGTGAGATGATTACTAGAAGATGAAAATTGCTATGCTTGGGTGGCCCAAAATGGGATTGCGGCAATGTCATATGTGAATTCACAGTCTTCTCAGAGTGGAAACAAATGATCCAGCACACACTGCCAGAGATTGACTGGAACATGAAAAGCCTCTCTGCAAAACGCTTGTGATTTTCCTATTGGTTGTTGTTACTATCTGACACACTTGAGTGTACTGTTAAGTTGTCTGTAGCTAGTGCTGCTGCTACTACTATAAATCCAGTGTCTTGAAATTAACAATCGCTGTATCACTTAAACAAGTACTCTGCATTTTTTTGGTTCTCTTTTTTATGTACAAGGTTTCTTTTTTAATGAGAAAGAATGTTTTCTACTTTTTTGTGTCATTATCGTGAGAATGTGTCCACGCTTTTACTGTTGTAAAATCACCAAGGGCAGAAAAAGTCAATGCTGGAAACTTAAACAACATACGAACATATGAAGCAAGTACCACACAGGGTCGGCGCCAGAGTCGTCTTTGTCCGTACAGTGTACAAAGGTGAAACAAAGGCATACTGTCAGAGTGCAATGGGCAGATACATTCCTTTCACTGGGTTGCCATCAGTGAATTTTGACATCTGTATTTTGCTTCTATCTCATCAGAAAATACAAGACTCTCTACTGAGAAGCTGAATGTATGCAAGGAATGAGACACGATTAAAGAAGCTGTTTGACATTTCGGAAAACTGTCTGTTGCTTTTTTGCCTGGTGTGTCATGAGAAGATGAATACCACTACAATGTCAGCCCTACCTTAAAAAAGAAAATTATTAGCTAGACTCAACCTTAAGATTGAAAACATTGAAGTAACAGCTTGCCAGGCTCCCACTGGAGCTCAACAGTGTGACTGCCAGCATGTTTAAATACTGAAATGACAAAAAGACAAAGACCTAATAAATCAACGTACATTCTCAATCATCATTTCTGATACTCGAAATTAGAGCTAGCTCAGCCGAGTAGCCTCTGTTCGATCTGACACAATACACAACAAGATACATTTACATAAAATAAGCTACAATGTGATTAGGTGTGGCAAAATTTTACATGACTTGACTCTATATTGTGTAATTTTCATGCAGCTAACACATTTAACATTGATAATTAACTTAAGCAGAGTGGTATACGGGAGATCTGCCATAATTAAACCAGCTGAACAGTTAGCCTTCATGGCTCACATAAGCTAGCTACTTCTTAGCTGTTTTTAAACTACATCTAGAGTAAGCTAACTGCGTATGATGACATTAAAGATTGTAAAATGCGCTGGTTCCCTGGCTTGCTAAAAATAAAAGTCTCAGTGAAGTCGTTTCAGTGTGCGGCGGTTTTGCTGAGTTGTTGCAAGTGGGGTGCATTTTTGCTAATTTTAGCTTGAGTAAGCGACAAACATTAGCACAGTAAGAAAATGATCAGTTAAAAGCTTTAAAAAAACAACAAACTTGCATATTTTACATCTCCATTACATAAATAAGTATTTTTTTACTATCTTAGAAAGCGTATGTTGGCGTATTTTGAGCCTTAGCTTAAGTGAGGCTAAGCTAAACAATCCAGGCCATAGCTCTGCAGTTAGCTAACATACAGACATGTAAATGGTATCAATCTTCTCATCTACCCTTCAGCAAGGAAGCACAGCAGCTTATTTTTCAGAAAAGTCCCATTCCCACCTCCTCCCCACATACTCCAGAGCTGAAATAAGTCTTTTTTTTTTACTATCTTAGAAAGCGTTTGTAGGCGTTCCTTGAGCCTTAGCTTAAGTGAGGCTAAGCTAGCTAACATACAGACATGCAAATGGTATCAATCTTCTCATCTACCCTTCAGCAAGGAAGCACAGCAGCTTATCCCACCTCCTCCCCACATACTCCAGAGCTTCTCTAACAGCTATCAGTCCAGAAAACCAGGATATCTCACTAAATGGTCTAAGTTTGACATATTTGTATGACATTTCATGTGGTTTTGGCGTAGTGGTTTGGTTTGTAAATAATATAGCTATTTGGGCCCACAGTATGCATCACACTTACATTTGATGTAAGAGCACTTTTTATTCCCACTGCTATGTTATTCCACATGTGGCGGTCATAAATGTAGGTGTGCGTGAGGAAAAGTTAGGCGCGTGTGTGTATTTGTATGTCTACGTGTAAATTTGTAAAAAAGATTTAAAAAAAGGAGCAGATTTAATTATCTGTCTTCTTGTGTGAGGCGGGTTTGCGGTGTGCACCTGGGGTCTTTGGGTTGCTTTTGTTCCACCGATTATGAGATTTTTACTGTACATAAGAGTGCAATTTTACAGTCAGCAGATTTGTTTAACATTTTTTCTAGAGCTACACTTTTTCAGTTCTTGCACTGTAACATATGATGAAACACATGTATGGTCCCTCATATCTGTAGATATACAAACCATGAAGCAATCAGTCACCATTTCTCATTTTGCTTGTTGTGTTTTGGTGAACTGCATGCAAGAAGTGACAACTGTCCGCTCATGTGGTCTAATGATTTTAAAGCCAAAAGAATTAAAGACATATTTTTTTGTAAATGCTTCTTTATTTTTCTTTATTTTAATTTTCCATGAGGTTTTTTCCTGTGATCTGAACCTGGACTATGACTGCTTTACATGAGGGGGTTTTGGTTGACAACAGGATCATTCATGTGGTTCCAGTACGTTACATTTAACTCTGTATCGATTTGCAAAATGTGACAAGTGACATTCTTTTGTTATAACCAAAGATGTTGCAACAAAACTCAAAACCTAGATTTCCAAAATAAAAGACGATTTTGGGAAGCAACACTTTGCATGCACGGTGGATTCATTGTGAGGTGCAAATTCATTCTTAAGAGGTTCACAAATGAAGCTAGATTGAGCATTTTAAATGATCGGGGGGCAGAGGAAGTGGTGCTGAGATGGAAGGATGGGAAAGAAGAGTCAGGGGTGAAAAGCCAAGACCACCCTCGCCCAGCAGCCCCCTACAAGGACCCACGCAGCTTCTCCCTCTCTGTTGCCAGGCAACCTGTCGTTACAGCTCCCCTGCCTGTGATTGATCAGCAGCGTCTCTGAGCTTTTCTTACCCACAATACCTTGCATGCTCAGAGTAGGCAGGCAGGCAACCCCGTCTCCTACCCCTCCTTGACACCACAGACACACGCACCTTACTGGTATGATTACATAAGGAGGAGTAAAGGTCGAGCCGTGGCCTTGTGTTCCTAATGAAAACCAACATACAGCGTTTACCTCGCATGTGTGCGTCACGCTTGGAGGACCATAAACAGCCACTGGATGTATGTTTAGTCACTACTGTGGAAAAACACCTGCTGCAGAGTGAGTATGCAATGGGCCATGATGTTTTTCTACATGAATGGGCTGGAAAATGAGATGGGAACACTCAGCCTGCTAAAAAAAAATCAGCTTTGTCAGCTCTGGTGGGCCCTCTAGAGGCTGAAATGTGGCACCAATTCAAACTGGGAGCACTGGTGAAGAATATGAATGAAGCAACAGAGTGAAACAGCATTTTTAAAATTTCCTCTCTTACTGAAACGGCATAACCCGACATAAAAGTGACATAAAGACACAGTTGTCGATGCTTAGGAGACGATAAAGTCGCATTTTTTAGCGCCAGAGGACAGATGTTCCAAGCAAAACCAAAGTCACAGTTTGTCCTAAGGCAGAGACATGCTTTCATCAAACATACTGACGTCAGAAAAGATTATTTAACCCTTTATAAAGGAAAGGAAGAAGCCAGGCGAGAGAAAGGACACATTCATTTGCTGATCAACAGGCACCATCTTGTGGTAGAAGAGTGGAACTCCTTTGGACAGCTTGATCATGTTTGACCACCAACCACCTTGAATGAACCGCTGTCTAACTTAGATACATGCAAAAAATAAACAAAAATAACACACTTCTGAGAAAGTAAATGAGTTATATTTGGATCTCAGTGAAGAAAACTTTCCTTTAATTCACATTTTGAGGCGCACCATTGACCTAAGGGTCCTGCTTAGTTCGTATTCCTATTGTTGTTTTTAGGCAGGTGGCAAAAACCTACTAAAAAGTGATTAAACTTTCAATTACTGCACCAGCTAATCCATCATGTACCATGTATGTACAGTGGATATAAAAGTCTACACACCCCTGTTCAACTGCCAGGTTTTTGTCATGTAAGATAAATAGTTTCACAACTTCTTCCACCTTTAATGTGACCTATAACCTGTACAACACAACTGAAAAACAAACAGGAATCTTTTAGGGAGGTGAAGTAAAAATAAACAACTGAGATAATGTGGTTGCACAAGTGTGGATGCCTGACATTTTTGTAGCCACATCTTCCAGCACAAGCCATGGTTCGCAGAGATCTTCCAAAGCATCAGAGGGATCTCATTATTCAAAGATATCAGTCAGGTGAGGGCTACAAAAGAATTTCCAAGGAATTAAATATACCATGGAACACAGTAAAGACCGTCATCATCAAGTGGAGAAAATATGGCACAACAGTGACATTACCAAGAACAGGACGTCCGTCCAAAATTGATGATAAGATGAGAAGAAAACTGGTCAGGGAGGCTACCAAGAGGCCTGCAGGAACACTGAAGGAGCTGCAGGAATTTCTGTCAAGTACTGGCTGTGTAGTACATGTGACAACAATCTCCCACTGTCTTCTTCATATGTCTGGGGTATGGGGTAGGGTGGCAAGACGGAAGCCCGGCTTAATGTTGCAAAAAGACATCTAAAATCTCCCAAACACATGTGGAAAAATGTGTCATGGCCTGATGAAACCAAAATTAAACTTTTTGGACATAACTGCAAATGGTTTATTTGTCACAAAATCAACACTGCTCATCACCAAAAGAACACCATACCTACAGTGAAGCATGGTGGTGGCAGCATCATGTTTTAGGGCTGTTTTTGTTCAGCTGGAACTGGTGCCTTAGTCAGGGTGGAGGGAATTATAAAGAGTTCCAGGCACAAAACCATCGGCCTTCTGCTCGAAAGCTGAAGATGAAGATGAAGAGGAACTTCATCTTTCAGCACGACAATGACCCAAAGCACACATCTACATCAACAAAAGAATGGCTTCACCGGAATAAGATTGAGACTGTGGAATGGCCCAGCCAGAGCCCAGACCTGAATCCCATCGAACATTTGTGGGGTGATCTGAAGAGGGCTGTGCAGAGGAGATGCCCTCGCAATCTGTCAGATTTGAAGCAGTTTTGCAAAGAAGAGTGGGCAAATATTTCCACATCAAGATGTGCCACGCTGATAGACTCCTACCCAAAAAGATTGAGTGCTGTAATAAGCCAAAGGTGCTGCAACAAAGTATTAGTTTAAGGGTGCAACCAGGTTATTTTAACTTTTCTGTTTGTTTTTCAATTGCATTGTACAGGTTATAGGTCACTTTAAAGGTTCTGTCATTTTCTTACATCACTAAAACCTGGAAGTTGAAAAGGGGTGTGTAGAATTTTTATATCCACAGTAGCTTTATAGCAATTTATAGGAAGTCCACCTCATAGCTAGCTGGCTATTTAGCTCTTGAATGCTCAAATAGCTAACCCTGAAACTTGTTGTGATGTTCAAAGAGTCTCCAACAGCGAGGCGTAATGTTGAACACACAAAAAGGAAACGGTAAGTATGAACTGTTTTATGTGTTTTTATCATTTTACAGTTTCTGCTGGGTAAACCGAACACATGCTTTACAGACAGCCATTTAAGAACGATTAGCAGCAAATGTTGAGACACCAACCAGTACAATGAAAAAATACTGTAACGAATACAAGCACCTCGAAATGTTGGTTTGTCATAGATGCCAGTCACAGCCACAAAACATGCTGGAATGACAAAAATACTTGATAACAGGGTAAAGTTACACAAATAATGTACAGAAATACTGGTATTGAGTTTTATTGTGAAGGTTCTGTCGTCTTTTATCTAAACCGAGAGACAAATGGAGCTAAAATGACATCTCAAAGTTGGACTCTCACTCTTTTTTGAAGTGCACTTATTAAGAATAAATTAAACCGATGGCTGAACACAGTTGACGATAGATTTTCACATGGTAACCGAACCCTTTTTAATGTTAGAAATCTGACTCATCAGGTTGTCTGTGGGCATGACGTGTCTATAATCTGCAGTTCTGTTTGCGTCAGACCCTTTACTTCCTCCTCTGTCTGCTCCACAGACCCAGCCGAGGCCTCAGTCTGTGAGTCACGACGGTCTGGATTGTTCTGGAGGTCTGTGGAGAGCGGCAGTTCTCCGTTCGCACCAGCGGGGGCAGTGTGGCACTCACGGGTGTCCACATGTGAGCAAGTTTGGAGAGTGAGGGAGTCTGTGGGGTCGGGGAAGTGGCAGGGGATGCTCTGCGGCTCTGTTTGGCTGCAGATTTCTGTTGTTATTTTTGACTCTAGCGCCGTCTCCACTGTGGGGAGTGTTTGGGTGACACCCGAGTTTTCATGAGCAAAAGTGTGGGCGTCAGTCACAGACGTGTCTATTTGATAGTGCTGCATGGAGGGGGAGTTGTGGAAAGGGTTCAGGAGGGAGTTATTCGAGTAACTTAGCACAGAGGGAAGTGGAACTGGGTAAGGCGGAGGACCTTGCAATGAGCAACCCCATTCTTCCTCCTCGTCCTCATCCTCCTCCCCATCATCATCATCCTCTTCCTCATCCTCTTCATCCTCCTCTTCTTCATCTTCCTCCTCCTCGGGGTCGATTGTTTCCAAGCTGTGCGTGCTGCAGTCCGACAGCCCGCTGCAAACGCTGCTCCCCTCCTCGTCTTCCTCGTACGCTTCATCATCATCTTCGTCGTCTTCCTCTTCTTCTTCCTCTTCGTCGTCCTCTTCCTCTTCCTCTTCTTCATCTAGATGTGAGTCCGCGTCGCCTGTGTTCTGGAGGTGCATGATGGGAATGTGCGGAGGGAACTGCAGGTTCGGCTGCTGCTGCTGCTGCTGCTGGACCAAGGAGGAGTCGCCATGGTAACCGTTGCCGTTGGTTACAAGCTGCTGCTCTGGCTGCTGCTGCTGCTGCTGCTGGTGCTGCTGCTGCTCCTCGCGGCTCTTCTCCAGCTCCAGCTTCATGATGGTGTGCAGGAAGTGGGTGCGAACCCGGACCGGGTTGAACTCCAGGCGCCCCGTGTTGTTGCTGCAGCCTTCTTTGGTGCAGCCGCAGGGGAAGGACATCCGATCCACCTGAGGAGGGAGCAGAAAAGGATTCAACCAGTGCTGAACCGAAGCGACAAAGAGAGCTGAAGATCAAAATCACAGCTGATGATGTTTGAAAGATGGTCTTACATGTGTGCTATGTTACAGCTTTAAGTAGTTTATACCCTGTGCATCTGTGCTCAAATTTAGATTATTTTTTGTTCATTGGAGCAACATGACAAAGCATTAGGGCCTTTATTTGGAGGACAAAAGCTTCAAAACATGGTTTAAATAAACATGTAGACATTTAAAGTATGAAGTCTTGACTTAATGACCAGAGAGTGATACCATAGTAAAAATAATATCATAAATTTACATGAATAGGTTCATAAATTTGTAAGAATTCATGTGCCATGGAGGGCCGAGAGGCTGCAGGTTATCTTTCCAAGCCAAAACTCCACCAGGTGATTTCACTGATTAGTCCCTGCTCTCTTCTTGGAGGTAATCAGTGAAATCACCTGGTGGAGTTTTGGCTTGGAAAGATAACCTGCAGCCTTTCGGCCCTCCATGGCACATGATTGCCCACCCCTGCCCTAATGTAACAAAAAAGAAGTCGTAGATTTACAAAAAAGATTTGGAGAAATTATGAGGATAAAGTCACAAATTTATAAAAACTAATGTTGATAGATTGAGTTAATATAATGAAAAAGATGTGACAATTTGACCAGGATTAAGCAAAAAACCTTTTCAGGTGCCTATTCTCCATCTCCGCTAATTTCTATACAGAGTTAGGGGTTTGTTACACCAGCTAGCTGGAACTGATTTAAACGAATTTCTACTGCACAGACAAACATGAACAACACTTGAGTATTATAGATGGGCCTCACCACAGTTCCATTTACCTGGCACTTAATGCCGGCCAGGCTGCAAGCACAGGTCTCCGGGTCACATATTCCCCGGCAGCGACACCCACACTCCTCTCGGGACATGCGAAGGGCACGCAGCTCGTGCTTTTCCTCCACATCGATACGTCGGACCCCTGAGGAACGCAGAAGAGCCCGCCGCCGTCTGGTAGTCAGAGGCTGGAGGAAGAAGTAATCATCCACCTCCGTGTTGTCCACATCCAGGTCATCTTCGGATATATCATCGAGCGTTAGGGTGTCTGCCTCCATGGATGATACGGTGCCGTTCTTAGTCAGCTGGAGGAAACAAAAAGAGAGTCAAGCAAAGATTAGACACTTTTTTAAAAAGTGTGCACCCTTGAGATGATCTAAAAAAGCTCAATTGAGGAGTCCCACTGACTTTTAGTTTGATTGCATTGAGTTTCTCCGCTTTGAGATGATTCCTCAGCATGTTCCTGTGGCTCTGTTTCTGCTCCATGGCAAACTCCCTGAGGGTGAAGCGCTTCACCCCGCTGTGACGTGGCGACATCCCCAGGGTGCTGCCGCCCTGCGTGGGTACGCTGGTGAAGCCTTGCCGCCGGTTAAAGTAGTAGACCGTGACACTTTCAAAATGCACGTTGCGACCTCGCAGTCGCTTCGATTGCTGCTGGAGGGTGGCTAAGATTGAGATAGAAAGATGGGAATATGAGTGAACGAAACATAATCAAGTACAAATTAACACATTTTGTGGGTTAGTTAGGACAGACGCTCTTCGGTTGTTTTGAATTTGCGAATTATTTGGCTCATGCAGCTATAAAAGAGGAAAAAAAGTCAGGTAGATGGACTTGACAAGAGTCGGTTTAATTTTTGGTTATATAAAGCAGTGTGTCATCAATATAAAGCTTGAATGAAAAAACAAAAACGGTCCAAAAACACGTCCTTGAGGAACGCGAAAGAAGGCCTTGAATGGCGGCTAAAAATCCTCCATTAAAGAGGTAAAGATAAGACTCAGTTGAGGCCATAGACTGTACATACTGTGGATAACTTGGTTCCATCTTCCGCCAGTGTACGGATTTGAAGCTGAAAAGCTCTCAGTAACGCTGCGTTTTTTTCTCCACTTCCTGAAACCAACATTGCGTTGCGCTGTGATGACACTCGGTTCATTCAGCGTATCCCCCGGGTGAGCTACGCAATCTTTGTACGCTCATAGGCTGTATCAAGTGTCAATCATAGCAAACATGAACCCCCTAATAACTTTTAAAAATGGAGCTGCACAGAAAAAAGAGGACTTGAGCACAAACCAGTCTTACTGTAACTACATGTCAATAACGCAAGCAGGGGGGAGAAACATTTATATTCTGTGTAATTAATTTCTAAAGTTGGTCCACAGCTCCATAAGCTTTGCTGGTGGAGGTGGGATTTATGACCTATACTGCAGCCCATCAACAGAGGGTGCTGTTCTCGAGGTTTATTCACCCAGCAAGGAGGCAGACTCTGTCCATTCTATATATAGTCTTTGGTTAAGGCACTTTCAGTGAGTTATAATCTGCTTCTAACTTGGCTTCAGACTGAAATATGTTTTTTATATGCAATCGTAAGTTTTTCCGATTGTAGCTGCTGACAGAAGCAGAGAGGTAATATGATCTTACAGTCCATCAGTCCAGCAGGGACAGGATGGTTGAGACTATCACTGCTGTTGCCGCTGTCGCTGCAGGAAACGTCATCATCAGACCCCTGCAGGGACAGGTAAGGAGGCGGGCCCTCCTCCAGCTTCCTCTTCAGGATCCCGCTCATTGTGTGGCCCCTCCCACTTGTTGCACCTGCACAAATGACAACATGGATAATATTAATGCTAACTTTTGCCAGACCTATTCTGCGTTCAAGTTACCTCGGAAGTCAGATGTTGGAGCTGAAAATGACGTCACACCTAAGTAACCGGCGTTTCAGTTTGTCGGAAAAAAGCAAAATACGAGGTGGAAACAAGATGGCTACATCTACGAAAGTTACTTTAGCGCTTACCTTGTTCTTGCTTATATTCAGGTAAGGCAAGGGCTAAAATAACTTTCATAGATGTAACCATCTTGTTTCCGCCTCCGATTTTGCTTTTTTCCAACTTAGTAACTGAAACGCTGGCAACTCGGGTGTGACGTCATTTTTAGCTTGGATTTCTGACCGTCGAAGTAACTGGAATGCAACAAGAAACACTTGTAAATAAAATGTTCCCATAAGGTTATTGTAATTTTGCAAAAAAAAAAAAACTTTTCCCCACAAAATAATTATATTGTGTGCAAATGTAAAAGCTATTCTTGCAAGATAAAAACTCATTTACAGAGGGAGCTAACTTTTTAAAAACCCTTTTTTAAAGATTATCTTGTGTGGACAAGATATTTAGTCCCACAAAATGATACTCTTGTGCAGAATAGATAAGAATCTTGTACCCAAAAGATCTTTTTTTAAATTTGTTTGTAATAAGGATATGATGCTCCCTTAAAATATTTATCTTGCGCACACACCAGGTGTTCCATTCCATGGTGTACATTCCATGTACACCAGGTGTTCAGTTGTTCCCACAAGATAACTACCTTGAATGCAAATTTATATGTTATATTTTTCATCACTGGATATTTTTTTGTTTTTAAAGGGAACAATTAGTCCCAACAAGAAAATTATCTTGAGCGCACAAGATCTAGTGCTCTCTAAAGATAGTAATCTTGTTCCCACAAGATGATTATTTCATCTGCACTTGGTATTTACTTGTTAAGAAATATCTGATATCAGTACAAAGGATAACTTGTTTCTTCCAGATGGTTAATCTTGTTCACACAAGATGGTTATCTCATATACACCTAAATCAGTTAATTAGAAAACACTTAGTTCTGAATTCAAATGTGTCATTATTCACTATTTTAATAATCAGGCCAAAGTTAGTGCTGCTGGATGAAACTTAGACGTGTTCGTACTCTGACAAATTTGGACTCTTTTGATCACATTAGCTGCTTCTGAAGGAAGGGTAACACTTCCGCAAAGACACAGGACACACTTTCTACCACAGAAGGGGCATTTTTAACCAGCCCTCTGCTTTCTATTCATACTTAAATTTCACATTTGTGTATAAAAGTGTTGAGTTGACTGCTTGGACTGGTGGAGGATTACATCATATGCAGCAGAGCTGGATGCTGGGCCAAGCGTTTGCTCTCTCACGGGCTTTGTCTCCTTTCTCCTGCTACCCACCGCAATATTACAACTCCTCTATCATCATTTTGGTTACATTTATACCCACACATGCATGCCTTGTTTCAATTTTTCTTGCATTGTTTCTCCTATTTTTGCTCCACTCCCCTCTATTTCCATCCAGCCTTGTGCGCAGCTTCTCCTGCTCAGTGGAGAAAAAGCCAGAAAGCTGTGTGGAAGCAGAGACACATCATTTCATCTCCTCATATTTTCATGATGTCACAGATGTTGCAGTCTTCCTGGTGTTGAAACCTTCCCGGTCCAGCTCCCGTTAAAGCGCACACTCATATGCACACATGCATCCGCACACTTGTTCAAGCTTGCTCACGTGTCTGCATGCATATGCAGCCTCCCACTCCCCATGCATGTCCACATCCTGAGCACTAGCAAAAGGGGGGGGGGGGGGGGTTTCTTATTGACAAATGTAAATCAGCATCATCATCATAGTGTGGGGTGATGAAAGCTTGGCTTTCCTCATGCATGAATCCCCCCCTGAGTGTTTGACCGTCACTGACCTGTTTCCTTGTCTTGCCTTTGGTTTCCAGGAAGTCCTCGACTCTCTCCTCTGCATCACCAGCAGCAGCCAAACATCCCCATGTGTCGTGATGATGCAGTGAGCGCTGCCATGATGCCCGCTTTCCTCCCCTTCTCTCTCTCTCTCTGTCTCTCTCTCTCTCTCTTCTTCCAGCAGCCTCTGGCACTGTTTCGCAGCACTGAAACACCTCTGCCTCTGTCACTATCTCCTGCGCTCTTCCTCTGCACCCTCACTCTGTCAACTCTCTCTCTGTCTGATTCTCTCTCCTGCTCTGCACCCCTCCTCTTCTTCTCTCTCTCGCTCTCTCTCTCTTCCTCGCTTTCTCTCTCTCTCTTTACACTCACAAAGACTTGTTAGCTCGATGCTGCTGCCGGCTGGAGCGCTGGAGCTTGACTGAGGTGAAGCAAGCCCTCAGAGATCACAGGGAAAAGGGGTGGTGGGGGTGGGGGTGGATTTGATGAGGTGGGGGTGGAAAGTGTAGATTCTGCTCTGTGAAACACCTCTTTTTCACAGTCCTCAGGAGAATATTTCCTATAAACATCATAAAAACCAAACACAAGTCCCTTTAGTGTTTCATTATTTTGTTGTATTTTGTTATCATATCAGGGACAAAGAAGTCATTGTACTGTAATGCAAAGAAATATTCTGTATAGGTGAAAAAAGCAAACTGACCCTTTAGATTTATGTTCAAATTATATGCTTGTATGAAAGCTATACACTCTGCACCAAACAAAAACTTGAGTTATTTGTTTGCACATGTTTGCCTCTCTGTTATCATGTGATCCAATTATTATAAATACTATAATTGTGCATTTGTGTGTTTTTTTAGGCCCTTTTCATTCAAACTTCTTAATCCTGAGGCTCTTATACAATAAGTAGACAGCATGGGGGTCCTCATGTTCATGTGTAAGAACAAAGCAGGCTCGCTGACATGCACGCTGACAGAAATAGTCTGAATTAGAGACAATAAAAGCAGGAGGAGTGAACAAGCTGGAACAACGTCCCCATTATTCGATGAAATTACCACTTAAGTATATTCAAACAGTCATTGCTTCAAATGAAACCTCTAAGTCTCTGGTTTACGAACAGCATGAGACGAGCTGTTTACTATTGAAAAGGTTTTCTGTTTTTTTTCTTTCTCTCTCTGTCGCCCATGCCTTATGACTCACAGCTGCTGTTCATGCCAGTCTCAGAGCTGCTCACAGATTTTTTTTTTTAAATTTAATGGACAGATTAGTTAAGTAGCTCTCGATTTAGCCAGATAAAGTAAAAACAGAGGCTGTGTCTCATTTCAGAGACCGCATCGAGCTAAGTGCACTTCTGCACCGTCGAACGGTGCATTTGAAGCGTGCATGACGTCACGACGGCGTGAACGGTGTCCCATTTGGCACGAGATGCTAAGAAATGCTAAGCGCGCTCAGCATTTTTTCAAGCGTGCATAAATGCACGCTTTCGTGCCGTCGGTATCCCAGAATGCTTTGCGTGCCGCTGCACAGCTGCGCATTTCAGGTGAGAGGCTGGACTCGCTTGGAGACACAGCGCGTCTTCAAAGAAAATACAAGAAATACTAAATGTCTCGAAATACTAAAATGTTTGGTTTACAGATTTTAGTGAGTTCAGAGATCATGCTCTCATACAGCCTGAGCTGACTGTCTGCTGTTTTTGGATTTCTTGCATTTTCTTTGAAGACGCGCTGCGTCTCCAAGCGAGTCCAGCCTCTCACCCGAAATGCGAAGCTGTGCAGCGGCACGCAAAGAATTCTGGGATACCGACGGCACGAAAGCGGAGGCGGGGGTAGTGTGGTTTTGAGACCAAATTTGAAGCGCGCTTAGTATTTTGTGCCAAAAGGGACACCGTTCGTGCCGCGTGATGACGCACGCTTCAGATGCGCCGTTCGACGGTTGCGGTCTCTGAAATGGGACACAGGAAGGGTACATAAGGGCGCAAAACGGCACAAAACGGCAGTGCACTCAGCTAAGCGCTGTTAAGCGCGCTTATCCCGATGCGGTCTCTGAAATGAGACACAGCCAGAGACTTTCTGTGACTGTTTGTGCCTCTATTATCCCAAATGACCTGACACTTCACCCTATAATGACATAAATGTTAAAAATATGGTGTATATGATATATATGGTACATATATTTATTTTTTATTAATTAATTTATTTATTCTTCCTATATTAAAAGGGCATCTAGAAGAAGTTTTATGAAACATATTGAGCTGAAAATCTAAAGTTGACAAACAAACTAACAAAGAAATAATAATAGTAAGGTTTGTTTATTAAAAGGGCAGCTTACAACCAATATTTGTTTTGGAAGAGCATCCGGTGGCCTCATTTTCTTTTACATCTTCTCATTTTATAAAGCATCAAGAGGCACTTTTATCAATATGTTTCTTATTTTGAAATTAAACCTGACAGAGTAGGATGCAAAGGGCACAAGCTGATGTACTGGAAGGACATCCAGAGTGCATTGGTTTATAAACTGGAAAAGGCATCCAGAGGATCCATTTTCATACATAAAAAGGGCATCTAGAAGAATTTTTATGAAACAGAGGAGCATCCAGAAGGCACAGTGAAGCATGCAGAGTGGACTTATGTCCTATACTGGAAGGGCATCCAGAGTGTACTTTGTAATAATTCGACGAGCATCTGGAAAGCACATTTTGTATACTGGAAGGCCAACCAGGGGGCACTTATTTTTTGGACAGATATTCACAGGGAACTTTCTGAAAAGAATATTTCCACACATCACCCAATCTAGCCTCATTATCGAGAAAGCTGTAAACAGCTGCCCCTCTCGTGTGGGCGCACACTCATATATACAAACGTTCACATATGACCCAACCATTTTCTTTATTCAAGTGTTTTTCAACCTTTTTCAACTCTGTAGAGGACTAGGCCTGTAGAGGACGGTCCTCTACAGGCCTGCGCCATCCGCCACACGGCGGATGACTAGGCCCGTAGAGGACCCCCCTATATACTTCCTGTTGCATAACCCCCCCCATTTTATCTCTCTGGAAACACCGGGGGGTAACCTCACCCTCCTGGCCCTGGTTCCCCAGGTTTTGCTTGAGGATCTCACTTGTGCTGAGCGGGTTTCGAACCAGGAGCCAGTCTCCAACCAGACCAAATGGCTCACATTAGGGTGTTAGTTGTCTACCACGCTGCGCCACCTGATACATCCACATTTGGGCATGAGCTCTGCTTGCTTTTATCTTGGTAATTTTGCTACTGGACTTTAAAATTTATCGTGAATAAGGTTAAAACCCCTGAGGAGTGCCAGTCAGTGTTCTTATCCTCTGAGCCACGTGGACACAGAGGATTATACCATTTGCTTCCTATTTCACTGTCCTGTCTAGACACTAGACTTTAAAATTCACCTTGTCCCGATAAAGGCTCAAACACACCACCTCAAGAGTCCCAGTCAGTCTCCTTATCCCGTGAGCCATGTGGACACACAAGACAATTGTGTTTTTTTTTCATATACCACTGTCATTTGTGGACTCCAGACTTTAAAATTCACCGAGAACTGGGCAAGGTAAGACTTGAACCCACGATCTAAGTAGTACCAGTCAGTCTCCTTATCCACTGACCCATGTGGACACACAAGACAATCATGTTTTTTTCATATATCACTGTACTTTGTGGACTCTAGACCTTCAAAATTCACCTACAAGTGGGCAAGGTAAGACTCGAACACACCACCTCAAGAGTCCCAGTCCGTCTCCCTATGCCGTGAGCCATGTGGACACACAAGAGAGTAATGTTTTTTGTCATATATCACTGTCCTTTGGTCCTGAATAAGGATCTCTCTTGTGCCAAGCGGGTTTTTAGGTGAAAGTCTCGAGGCTACAATCTTAAAGTCCGGGAGCCAAAGTTCCAAGATAAAAGCACGCAGAACTCGTCCCCAACTGTAGATGGTGTCCGGTGGCGCAGCGTGTTAGGCAACTGACACCTTACTGTGAGCCATGTCGTCTGGTTGCAAAACGGCTCCGGGTTTCGAAACCTGCTCGGCACAGAGAGGTCCTTAAAGTCCAGGAGCCAAAGTTCCAAGATAAAAGCACGCAGAGCTCGTCCCCAACTGTGGATGGTGTCCGGTGGCACAGTGTGTTAGACAACTGATACCCTACTGTCAGCCATGTGGTCTGGTTGCAAACCGGCTCCTGGTCCGAAACCCGCTCGGCACAAGAGAGATCCTGAAGCAAATCCTGGGGAACCAGTCGCGGGAGGGACGGGTTACACCACAAGGGCACATCTTCCTCCCTTGGGAGCAATTCTCATCTCCTTATAGGCAGCTCAATCTCCAACCCACCTATTAGAGAGTGTGTCAAGTACCTAAAAGGGGAGCTCAAGATCACCTTGAGGGTCAGCCAAGGTCGCCAGTTGATGACTTTATTATTTTATGGAGTCCTGGGCAGAAAAATTTGGTCAGTGTGAAGGTCATCAGAGTCGACTAACTGTGACCAGGACCATAAGTGACACATACACGCACATTAAACGAACTAATTACATTTCCATGGTGTGTTTTAGCATGCTAATATTAGCTAATGGGTGCTCTAGACACTTTTGAGCAAAGTGACCCAACAAAGAGTTTGGAATTTGGAGGGGTGGCCAATCATCAAGGGGCTTGTGCCACCCCTTTGACAGGGCCCTGGATGCTGGACTAAATGGTTGATATTTTTTCAACAAAAAAACACAATGAAGTTTAATTTAGTGGCATCGTTTTTTAAAATTACTTTGGCACTCAAACAAACTAATAATATCACCGTAGCGTGTGTTAGCATGCTTATATTAGCTAATTGGTGCTTTAGACACTTTTGATCAAAGTGACTCAACAGAAACATGGTTAGCACTCAGTATGTGTTAGGAATTACATGAATGATTAGCACATATTCACATTTTCTGCCTTTTCACTTCTGCAACTGTTATTGAATTATAAATATTATTGAAATTATTAGTATGTTTGTAGAAAAAAATAAAGGACAATAATGACAATTAAAATCTTGAATTTGGAGGGGTGGCCAATCATCAGGGGGCTTGTGCCACCCCTTGGACACGGCCCTGCATGCTGGACTAAATGGTTGATATTTTTTCAACAAAAAAACAATGAAGTTTGATTGAAAGGGAATAAAAACATGAATGACTCTTAGATGTGCTGTCTACAGTTTTGAGCCAAACTTCATCTAAGGAGCATATTTTTATTGAAGCAAACACAGGTGGGATTTTAAGCAGACTTCTGGATACCCTAAATCTTAGAATTGGCCATAGATTGACTGATAATGCTCTCGAGGATTAAATCAGCATAGATTTATTTCAATAACATGTCGTTAAAAGCCCAACCCCCCACTAATGATCCCCTAAACATTGTTGCTATAGCAATGCCAGACTTTGAAT